GGGGGAGCCAACTTAACTCAAATTTTAGATGAGTGCCGCTTCATAATGTATTCAAGAAAAGTTGCTAAAATGTCCTTAAAATCTAAATTTGAGATGGTGACTCTTCCACCAACATCATGAGCGGCGAAACAGCATAGCTTTAGAGTTTACTATCAAATTCAAGTTTGGCTTGGAAATAGTTCTCTCGACCTGAGAGAGTGGGGATGGAGGGAAGAAGAGGGAAGCGATGAAAGAAAATTTCTATTACCTATGCATTCCACATTAAATTTTGTGCCTGATAATGTTATATAGATGACCTCCTGTAACTGTAAGTCTGGTTGCGGCACAAACTGTAAATGTTTTAAAAAAGGGCTCTGTTGTTCGGCTATGTGTCGTAATTGTAGTGGCGGAACATGTAAAAATATATTATCAGCCGTCGAAGAATTTGAAGAGGACCATCTATAGGTTTTTGCCCGAAATAGTTTTAAGTATCGTCTTGAACTTGCCAACAGCTAACTTTATGTGTCCATTTTCGTTATTTTATGTCATTATTGTTTTGTTACTGATAATTTTTACGATGATTGCTTTTATTTGCTGTTTAATTAATTTTAACCTGAAAATTAACGAATGCCATCAATAATAGACTACATTGCTTAAAAGGTGACATTTTTGTAATACCCATGTAGGCATTTTCTTTCGTATTAAATATTTATTTTTGCTCTAATTTTTCGTAGAGCTGTGTGTGCTTTCATAAGTAAAACTATTAGGTAATTAAAGATATCCATAAATTTCCACCTCAATCTAATTCTATACTCATTTATTCCTCTTATTCAGTCATGTTTACTACTAACTAAATTTCAAAATGTTTCGCTCTCAAAAAAATAAATAAAAAAAGGAAGGAAGCGAAAACGCGTCCAAGTGGAAACAGCTTCATTCAAATATAATGTAATTATTTGTAGCCAAACATATTGAAAAATTTATGGTTTTGAAAGATAAAATTTATCTGCAGTTCACAAGAATGTTGCCCTCTTAGAATTGAAGAAAAAAAAAAATTCTAGGAGTGGGCTTTTTGAGAAACATGCCGCCATGAAGCATTGAGTTGGGGCGGTTCTATGTGAGTGCTGCGTGTTATTATACGCTGCGCTGCGCCGCGCTGAGCCGCGCTCTGCCGGACTTCCACCCCCCTCTCATCCTCACCCTTTGCTCCTACCTTAACTTCCAATACACCATTTGATAGGAAATTGCGTCCTCTAAAAATTTTCATATAAGTATAAATTCCATTTTTTAATCGATAACGGAGTTATTCCGACTTATTTAAAAAAAAAATAATTCCATTTCATAAATTTTGAATTTGTTTTAAAATTTTCTTAACGATCTCTTGATAAATTTTGATGACCAATGGTTTCATTTTAACGTACGTATCAATACGAACAATTTAAAAAAAATTGAGGTGTCTAACTATAATAGGAGCCAAGTTACAGCAGTTTAATTGGAAGGGGGGATTTTTCAACTTTGAGGGGGGCTAGCAAAAATCCCTAGGGGGCTAGGAATGGGGACTTTTGTGAAAATACGCCCCACAGTGGGTATAATCAGTGGTGAAAATTTCAGCTTGTTACTAATTTGTTCCGCATAAATCCCTTCGTTTACTGGACTATTATTAATATTCAATTTTAATTTTTCTCCTTTTGAAATCATTACTTCCAATCAGCATTGATGTAATGGTAAGATGCTTTCTGTACAAGCTATTTTATAGTGGGAACTGAAAGATTTTTTATTAGCTTCGCAGCCACACTTCTTTTGAATAAAAGGGTCATATGAAGTCCTATGAAAACGCTTTATTTTTGTATTCCGGCTTTTGTAAATACCGTGGAAGTGTGTAACGTAATTTTTCCTTTTGTTCGCAGGTGGATTTGGCGGATCATCGAACAGACGCTGGGGTGGCCCCCCTAGCCGAGGAGGCAGTGGCGGTGGATACCGAGGAAACTCATCCGGTGGCTACCAAGGAAACCGAGGCGGAAGCGGTGGAGACTGGAGGAGCAACAACGGTAACAGTTCGTGGAACTCCAGCAACAACACACAAGGACAAGGGTATTATAACAACAGTGGAAATTCTGGCAGTTGGTCGAATGGTGGTTCCAACAACGCAGGACAATGGGGCGCAGCTCAACAATACTAAAATGTAAGTAGATCAAGATTTTTCATGTCCTTGCTTATGATGTATGCATTTGTCTTCAGAGGAAAAGTTGGTTCTCTCTCTGAGTTCCCCTAAAATCTTGAGGAGCCCAAATGGAGTTATCTATGACTTGAAAGCGATCTTTCAACTTAAAGTTGTCAACTCAATTTAATCCAAAGCAATTAGGAGGGTCAAACACTTGCCAGCTTTTTTTTTCAAAGTTTGTCCAGTAAGAGAGGATCACATTATGAAATGCGGATGAGAACAATCATGTCACATTCATACAATTAATAGGGTTAAAAACTTTGTATTAAAAGCAGAGGAGGTTCAAAATCTATCTAAAACCGATTCCACAAGCAGGATGGAAACTGAAATTGAAGCCAATGATGTGCTTTCTTGAACTTAAATTACCACTAGCCTAAGATATTTTTCAAAATCATAGATGTCCTTGTTTTCAGTTGTCCCCCCTTACAACGTGTGAAATGAAGGCCCTCATTTTTTGTTTAAAATTAATTTTCATGAGGTATAACCAAGGTTCTAGGATATTTAAGATTTTTTAACACCTAATTGCAAAGAAACCCTTTTTCACAAATGCCACTAATGGGACCCATTTGAAATGAATACCTTTGGCCGGCTCTGATGCGTAGCAGATAGGGGAAACAGCGATTGCTGATACGCCAAACTCAGCTTCAGCTTGTAACTTCAATTCGAATGTCTGGCTTGATTTGTTCAATATGATGGGCTTTTTCTCCCCTTGGAAATCATTTTTTGAACTTCCTGGTTTTTTCTCAAAATTTTACCTCAGAAAAAATATCCTACAACCATTTAAAAATTTCTTGCCTTAACCCCGTTAGCTCAGAAAAATTTAACGTGACTCCTGATCTAGGAACTCAAATACAGCATAAGATAGTGATGTATCAGAATTTTTTTCCTTTTTTTTTATTACCTTTGGTTTGAAAATTCTATCAAGAATTTTCTCAATTCATTTCTTTATCCAAGCCACTAATGTTTTTGTTTTTTTATTTTGTTGCAGGTGTATGATCTTATCACTATCATTCCTCTCTCGACAATTCTTATTCTCATCTTATTTGTCAACTATCGAAGCCTTTCATTCTTTTTGTACCCTCACCGCTTTGGTGACATGTTAATTAAGTCTATTTATGTTTTCAAAGATGTTTTATTGAAAGTTTAATTGACACTATCTCTTGCGTCAAAGCATTTCGGCTGTACATTGCTATCGTTGAACAACTTTCACTGGCATTAAGGTGTTTCATGTTCCTCACGAATTTTATTTCTTTTCATTTTGTACGTATTTTTTTAATAAACTTTCCCTTTGAATTTCTCCCTATAACAAAGATAAGTGGAACCAGTCAATAACTCTAGTTTTTGTTTGAGCAATTTACATTGGTGTGTGATAATTTTGGGTTTCTTCACTGTAGTCAAAATTTTTACTGTCCCCTCTAGTGTATTTCTTTTTCTTTTTCAATGAGAATAAATTCTCTAAGTTCCTTTTTGTAAATTATTTGAAGCAAATAAAATTTGCTTGCTTGCAATTATAATTTCTTTTAAACATTACAAAACTTTTAATTAGCTTTAGTTTTGTTGCTGTTATGTTTTAGTATACAGTGGAGCCTTTTTCAATGGGTTATCTTTTTCTTTCGTTTTAATCCACCAGATCATGCACGAATGATTAACTTCTCAACTATTTGACCAGTGTCAGTATTCATCATTTCACGAATCAATGTGTAATCCCTTTTGAAATAAATTTTTTCTGTACTTAAACCCTTTTTGATCTTTTGTTTTTCTACTCCCGTTTTCTTATTGAAATTGTAAAACATGACTTTGAAAAGAAAGACTTTTTTTTAAAGAAAGAATCAGAAAATCTTTTAAATGTGCCTCATTAATGTAAAAGCCATGAAGGATAAATCAATCGAAACATCAAAATGTACATATTGTTTGGAAGAAAAGAAATTAGTGAAACTGTTTTTTTCTTTAAGAAAAATCTTAAACCTATCTTGTAATTCCAGGAGCTTGTCTCACCTTTGACTTAAGACATGTGATAAAGTCAGGCAAAATGTGCCTCCAAGAGAAAACCCAAACCGTCCAGTTCAGTAACATAACCGTCATGGGATAAAAAATATTGACTTTCAGTTTTTAGTGCTATAAGGTCTCCTAATATTTTAAGAACATTGGGGTCATTATATCAAGCCGAATTTTACATCACAAGGATGTAAGCATTGGAAATAAATGGTTCACAAAGGTGACAACATTGCCAAAGTACTATGTTCCTCTTGAATTCCCAATTTATTGCCCTCTAATTCCGAAATGTTTCTAATGGGGCCATGTTGGGAATTTTTGAGGGTCCTATGTGCCAAGTGATGCAACAGTCCTCTCATTTATTTTCACTTAGAGGACTATTTTGTCAGACTTCATCACTCTAAGTTTTCCAGACAATGTAATAAAAACTTGCGTCAATCCAGAAAAACCTCTAAAAGTCGGTTTGCCACTCTTCAATACAGACAGATACTTCAAGGGTTATGATCATTTTCGTTTGCACCATTGTAAGCAAGAGAGACAGCTTTCATTTTAACAAGGAACATCAATTTGCAATTCAGCTGCTATTATCGATGCTGAAACTGTAGGAATGCGTAACTCAGTCCGCGAGGTTGCAAACCTCCAGTCATACTTGATTAATCAACGTCACTTAAAAGCTGCCCTAATTCTTCTCAGTGTAAAAAATCTGTGAAGTTTCAAGCATCAGTGTTAGTTCTCCTCTTTAAGGAAAATGAAGTGGAAGTAGAGATTTTGAAACTCCATCAACGAGGTGCAAGTTCCTGCAGTTTCACTTTTAACACGTCTTTTGAAATGTTGAGGTACTGCGCCCCAAAAGCTTCCTCTCTTTAGCTGGAATAATAATGAAAAAGGAGTTGAACGCCTGCTGTACTAAGAAGAGTTGCGCAGCTATTGGCATATCTTGTTCTTGTCACTAACTCTCTAAGTGCTTGAGATAAATGACTATACTCTGCAGCAGATATGGAATTTTTGAACTTCGAATGACAGAGCAGAGTTGCCCTTTCCTCATAGCTGACACTTTCTTTAGTGTCAGAATCATGGTGTAATTCTTTCATCTTGATATGGCACTGTCGAGATCTGCAGGTATCAAGAGTTTCTCTGAGGTCACTGATGGTTTCATAAAAATCTGGAGAAATCAAATGAAAAAATTGCATGTGCTGTGAGCGTAGAATTGGCCATTCCTTTGGGCTGAGTGAAAAGTCTCTATTTGAATCTCTGGCAAACCTCAGTAACAGGCTGATAATTTTTAAATAATTTATAAGAAAAATCGTCTGGAATATGAATCATGAGTTTTGGATAATTTTTACATAGAGATGTGGTTTTCTAGTCTCACTATGAAAACTGAATTTTATGGGTTTAGAAGTACAAGATCGGCAGCCTGTGTTGAAATTGATGTCGGCACGACAAGAATCGAAAATTAATATAGGTATTACGCAGCGCAGATAGGGCTATGTCTTGTCTTATCGTGCCAACAAAACCAGTTAAAGTTTCAACGATCCGGCTACAGAATAATTGTGGAAAAACTAAATCATGGAGATCTTGTTTATTTATCACTGAACGGATTATCATGAGGACTTATTCGTCGAACCTCCGCGAAGAAGAATGCATTTTTTGGTGCAAAAAAGCAAAGAAATCAGTGAATCTTGTCAGGCGAAACTATCAGATATTTTTTTTTCAGTCAGTTGTGACACATGTCGTTACATGCATACCTACAAATAACATGAGTTGCCCAAAGAGGAAGTTATGTGGCCCCTTATAATGCCATTTGGACCCGTCATAGACCCGTATTTTTTTTAAACTCCTGTCTCAGATAGATTTAGGTACTTTCCTGATTAATGTCCAATCAGGATGACTCTATTCTAAAGTGACTGCATAGTGTCTTTTGCAAAGACATTGGTCTTTTGCCAAGAACTGAGAGGCCAGTTTTTTTGCTTTAAAGTTATATTCCATAGGTACTATAATGACATCGCAAGAACAGATAAAAATCCCGCTTGATATCAAGCAGCATATTTTCAATTCAGAAGAATTTCAAAATTTTTCTGGAATCTGGTCATTGTCAGCGAATGATACATAAGTAGGTTTTTTTAGATGGTTCACTGAAAAAGTACATTTTTACCTTTCAAAATTCTAAATCAAAGGAAAAGTTACAAGTGTGATGTTCTTTATTTAAAAAAAAATGGATGAAATCTGAACATTTTGACATATTAGTCCATTTCCTCAACCCCCAAAACGGCTTGATGATTTTAACATGATTTTTTACTATGCTTTTAACGAGTAACAGTTTAAATAGTCAAAGTTTGGGATCAAGGGTTTGTAACGAATTTTTTTGAAAATATCTTTACAAATTAAAACCCTGAGCAACTGCGGAAACAACGTTAGGAAATAGCTAAGTAATGCTCAATAAATATTATCGTGCATGCCAATCCCGATTTTTGCTGGCACTCTCTTTTTTTCAACAGTCCACTGGTGCGACGAGAATAAATTCGTATGAATAAATGTGAATCGGGGGCTTAGCGACGGGGTTGAAGGGTGTTCGAAAAGAGTAGAAAGGTTTGGAACGTTCTAGAATTCTGGAATGTTCGGGAGTTGCCCGATAAAACCCCGACCATCCCAGCAGAGGGTGAGAACAAACAATTATTTGAAACGCAACAATTCCCGCGCGACCTCCTCTCGCCAATGAGAAACCGACTCCAGAACGTTCTCGATTTTTCATTGGTCACATTCTTCTGGATGCTCCAGAAAGATCGAGAACCCTTGAGCAGGGTATATAAACAAACATGCCGGCAGAGTGAGGTTATAGTTGATTCTCTCACGGCGATCAGTGCGGATTTGTGCGTGTCATTTTAGCGTTTCCAAGTGCTTTTGTGTGCTCTCTATCGTCTCTCTAAGTGATTTTTTATTCTCTGAAGTGTGTTTCGTGATTCTCGATTCTCCAACAGTTTCACTTCGTTGCGTTATACCGTCAGGGTAATTTCCAGTGTCAGAAATCCGTGTTCGGCCATCCAGTTCATCACCCCTTTTCACTGGTATTCCTGCAGTTCTTTTTCCTTGCTCTAAACCATCAAGGTAAGATATTCCTACATTTTCAGTGTATTAGGCGCACTGTAGGTATCTCTTCCATTTCCCTGTGGTCTGTCCTAGTCCAGAGTTGTGAAGAGATCAGTGTTTGTCAGATCAGAAATGCATAGTCTGAGTTCCGGCAGTGAACTCTCCCTATTATTCTATTTGGTATACATGGTCAAGTCATATACATGGTACTTTTTTGAGTTGCCGTTGAGGAGCTTTTCAGTATGAAACCTCAGAGAAAGCAAGTGTTCGTTTGTTCAATTGCCTCAAAGAAGCTTTTCATTTTGAAATTCCAGAGGAGGTATGCAATTTCGCTTCTGAAATTGAAATGCAGAAGTTTGTCTGTTGACTTCATTTCTGAAAGACTATGCATTTCCACTGACATTATCTTCCATCAACTGTAAATGAACATGCAGAGTTGCAAAATTCCATGGAAGTTCATTAAATGTAATTTTGTAATGAATTTTCACTGTACGGAGCGCTGTCTTTGGTGATGATCATGGAGAAATTATGATGAGTTTTCTCCCCCATTTTTGCAATCCTCTTGTTACCTGTAATAGTTAAGCCTCATGCTTCAAGACTATTATATTCTTCCCCTGGCTCAGACTGATATCAACAGCAGTTGGTCCCGATTTAAGCCAGAAAGATTCTCGGGAAGACTTATCCACACAGGTCAGTCATTGCGCATATTTTTGAGATCCACTCCCCCACCTGGCCCTAACTCGGTGGCCTTCAATGCTTCATCACAATGGGTGCTCCCATAAGAAATACATTGCAGGCACTCAATACTACGTCACTGCGCAGTAGGGTTCCAGAACTCGTCCTCGGAAATGACTGACCTGTGTAGATTGGTCTTGACTCGTGCTGAGGGGAAAATATAGCAGAAGCCTCTACTCCCGTGACATATCTAGAAGTAGGTATCCTAGTATGTACACCTCCATTGCAATGTTTCCCGATTTCTTGCTATGTTACTCTCTGAAAGGGAACTCATGACATAAAGCACTAAGATTATTTGTGAACACCTTTGATGACAGAAGTATATTCACAGAAAAATACACGACTTTATCTGCTAGTTAGTGAGAGAAATACGAAGAGGTGATAGCAAGTAGATGATTCGCACCTACCAATGCGTCCTTTCTTTATCAAGGAATTAAGTGAAGTACTTATTATACTCCAGCTTAATGAGCTTCTGTTTCCAAGATCTCCTTCAGTAAATTTAAGTTTGAGCAGTTTACGTGATGTACATTTTTAGGGTTAGATACCCAGTTATCTGCCATTTAAACCAATTGATTATCATTCCCCATTCTCTCCTCTATGATTATGTAGTTTTCCTGTCCTTTAAAGGAGAACTTGAGTTGAGCTTCTAATATTGCCATGGAAGGTGCGAATTATTGGTTGTAGGCAATGTCTTGTCTTAGATAATATTTGGTGTTGATTTTCAAAGCATATACATCTTCTTTCAGTTTACTCACATCAGTATCTCTTTGAAATAGCTGCTAACATAATTTGTTTTTATTCAACAGATGTCATTGCTTCCATTGTTGTTGAGCGAATTGGAAGACACACGCCGCCCCAGCATCTATGACCCATACTATGGACTTGGACTGGGTGATCTTCTAGCTGTTCCTGCCAGATCTGGGTACCTACGCCCATGGCGATTAGCCCCACATAATGACAGTGGCATCTCCAACATCCAAAATGACAAGAAAGAATTTAAGGTAAGAGTCCTTTAAAATCATCTTTCAAATGAGGAGCTTGGAGATCAAGTGCAGATTTTTCCCATTAAAAAGTTAATGTTCAAGGTTTCCCAATTAGACATGAAGCTCTATGCTGGAAAGAAAGTTCAAACTCGCTTTCAATGATTTTAAAATGGATCTTAGTTGTGAACTTTACACAGAGTACTGCTTAAAACTAATTTTAGTTCAAATCATTAATACATTAATTTTTCTACAAATTGCACCTACTCCACTTGTCTTCCAAGCCCCTAAACAGTCCCTCTGATCATTTTCTACTTCTATCTTCCTGTATTCCGAGACTCACTCTTTCCAGACCCAGGAAGTCTGTATCCTCATGAATTCTATTTACGTATTGAGTTGCTTGAGAGACCTCTTATACTGTAAAGTACGTTTCCCAGAAACTTGGAATTTCTCCAGTGGAATCAGCTTTGCTCAGAGAAAGTGATTTTTTTCCATCGAAGATTTAAAATAGTTACAATGGACCACTAGACAACGTACGAATTTAAGTAATCCAATACTAGTTTCTTAACCAGAATTTCATGTAGAACACGTTTCACAAAACGAAAATCACTGAAACCAACTCCTAACGAAGATATTAACGTTTTTATTTCACATTGGTTAAGAGGAATTTGAACTGCCCGCTGACAAATAACTCAAAGCTCTACGTGAGTCAAATCGAGCACAACAACGGTTTCAGCAAGCTTCTCAAACAAGCAATGTTCATTTCCCACCGTGTGTTGTTCAAACTATAAGTAATTTGCTATAGCTGGGCCAAAGCGTCAAGATTGAGGTTGCCAGATTTTTACATCGCAGAGACTGTCATGATAACGTTTAGCGCGCGATGTGAATCACGTAGAGTATTGAGTTTTCATGAGCGGGTGGTTTGAATTCACGCATCAAGAATCATTAAATATTTTACGTAAGGAGTCAATTTCGGTAATTTTTATTGTGCGCATCGTGCTCTACGTAAAATTTTGGCTGAGAAACATGTATCAGAATGCCGAATTTCATACCCTGTCTAGTGGTCCATTGTCCAAAAGCGAAACTCGTATGCAGTCTCCCTGTTTCTTAGCCTCACATACTCTATTTGAATAGCAGTTAAGGTCATTTTTCCATGGAAGAGTCAGTAGTTTTTCTGCTGAAGTGATAGGAAAGAATGCGAAAATGGTGCAGTAGGTAACTCTGATAAGGTTTCTTTTATGTGTCAACGTAAGACTAGAAATTTGTAGTGCCGCCATTGAAAAAATTTGATGTTGTTGTGTACTGAAGGAGTAAGAATTTGTTAGTTTCATGCTAACAGAAAATTTCATTTTTCTTTCGAAGCACTGTCACTTCTAAGTCATTGGATATGGTTCAGGACTTATTTAAAACGTATTGACAAAATTTCCTGTGTCTCCAATATTGCACCAAAGGTAACAAACGTTTTCTATTCTGTTCCAGGTCAACTTGGACGTTCAACAGTTCAAACCCGAAGAAATAAATGTCAAAACAGCTGGTGACTACATTACTGTGGAAGCAAAACATGAAGAGCGTAGCGATGAACATGGTTTTGTCTCTCGACAGTTCACCCGTCGTTATCTAGTCCCTCAGGATGTGAACAAGGATGCTATCACCTCCACCCTGTCTTCAGATGGAGTTCTTACTATTCATGCTCCAAAGAAAGTAAGTTAATATGTTCTTATTTTTCATTATTTAATAGATTCATAATAAGATGCGTAGGAGTTGGCCACATTTCACTGCTTGCACATGGGCTCCCTTCGATATAAGCATAAATAGTCAGATAACATGCTGTGAGTCTGTATATATTGTCTCCCAAAAGTGGAACATTTGATTCTTGCTAACCGTAGTGAAAGTTCTGGCCCAAGTTAAATTGGCGAAGTGATCAATGGCATAAATTGATTAATTGTAGGGTACCTTAATTGAAGTTATTCAATTGACTGTCCTGAAATAATGAAGATCTTACCGTATAGACAACAACTTGCATTTGTGGGCAGTTTGTACCACTGTGAAGTTCAAGGACATTTTTTTAAACATGTCATGTCATTGAAGTCATTGCTAACAGCAAAGACCAATGTACAAAAGTCAATCATTCTCAAAGACGAGTCCTGAGATGGTGCATTGATGGTGAGAAGTTAAGAAGATGGGAGTTACTTTCGTATGTCATCATTCTAAGATGTGCTGTCTGGACGATACCTCTACGAAAGAGTACTCGCAATGATTGACTTGTGTAGATTGGTCTTGCCCTTTTAGTTTAAATTTTCTGTGAAACTAATCTTTTTTTTTCTGTGTCTACAGGCAATTGCTGCAAAGGATGAACGCAACATCTCCATCACTCAGACCAACAAACCAGCACTGAAACAGGGCAAAAAGGACGGCAAGCCGGAGAAAATGGAAACCTAAATACCCTCTTCATCTGGTCTCTTCATGTTGATTCCTATTTTCCTATTGTCCTATTTTTTGTTCTCTGTAGTTTGTAAGTTTCACTCATTTCAAGTTCTGCTTCCAACCATCAAGATGATTTTGATGGGCCCTCAATGATAGTTCTAAAATTTTTATGTCAGAACTTGGATGTATTCAGTACTATTTTTACTCTCTAATGCTCCCATGAGTTATCAACACTTTGTGTTGCACACTTTTTTTTCAATGTACTTAAATTGTTTTTTTAAAAAAAAGTCCTTTATTGGAGATATCATTTAATCACTTCAACAGTATTACACCTTTTTCCTAATTTAATCATGTTCTAAAGCAATTTCTAGTAATTATCTAATTGAAAATCCTTTTTTCTCAGGGAGCTGTATTTAAAGATTCGATTTAACACTTATATCATGCGTCATTGTAAATTATTTTCTCGTGTTTAACAGTTGTAAGACTGAAAATTGTGTTTGTATTATAATAAAATTTCGTTTTTTTTACTCCAATTTTTATGTTTCAGTTTCTTCCATCCAATGCCACAGCACCTGAACAGACACTTTAATACAATACATATTGATGGCCTGAGTGCTAAACCATGTATCTGCATTGCAGTGTTTCAAAATTTCTGTTTTTGTCATATTTTTTGAAGAGAAATAAGATAATTTTATGACTCGAAATTTTTACTGAACATTCTGCTCTTAAAGAAGAAAAATCAATGAAGTTTTCAAGAAATTACGATGACTAGTCTTTCAGAGAAAAAGTTTAATGTGACAGGCAGTTCGCAGTGTTGTAAACTGTGCCAAGTGGTTTCGCAATTTGGCCATCGATATGTTTCATTACTCTCCGTTAATGTAATTCCTTGATGGGAAGTCTTAATCCTCTATTTTGAGCACTTATTTACAGAAAAAAATGCGATTTGAGGTCTAATTAGTTACCCTACTAGTTTTTACAGAGATTGTCAGTACGTTGGTCATCATGTTCTATTACCTTCTCTCGCACTCTTTAGAAGGAACTTTTATCCCTAATTATAAAAGTATTGAAATTGAAAATGCAAGCTTGTCATCCTCAGGTGAACAGAGTTGAACAGAATACACCGAGTCGCGTTTTGAAAAAAAAAAATCTGAAGTGGCTTTCAATATCAGTAGCTGCAAATGTTTTCTCGGTAAGAATCCAAAATAGAGACAGAAAATTTTCCATGTGAAAAGAACCATCACTGTTAGTCTGGAGCATTACTTCCTACTAAACTTACGCACTAGGAGTCAAACTACAAGTCTCGTCTCGGTTGAAACCTGCTGCAACATGATATGAATCTGTTCAACTCAGTTGAAGAGGGGTCAGCTGACCATTTTTCTTGTTTTGGTTGAACACGCGCCTCAGAATTTTTGAAAATATGCCCCTTGGACTTTTAGATAAATTCCCCGCATCCTCTCTTGGCGCACGGGGAACTGTAGAACTTCACTGGGGGCCAGGGGCTCCCCATAAATTTACGTGGCCCTTCTCAAGAAAAAGGTATTTACCAAGTAAGAGCGTGATACATTGTTCGCCATCTTTGCAATTGTTATATGATCTTCTCTTTAGCAAAAATAGCTCCAAATTGTTCCTGAGTTTATCAAAATTCGCCTTTAGTACCTAATCCCAGGACCCCCTCTCTAAACTTAAATTATCAAAGAAATCTTTCGAATCTTTCCCTAGAGGTGGAAGAGTTCCCTTTGGTAGGATGTCTTTTTGTGTGCCCCCCCCCCATCCCTCAATAAGGTGCCTTCTCACACAAAGCTACCAGCTCCGCCCATATTAATACATACCCAAGTTAAAAGTAGCAGTTATTGAGAGAGTTTTCCCAATGAATGGAAGCTTTGTTCGTCTACTAATGCTTTTCACTTTAGTGACGTAATTATAATCGAACGTTGACAGCGACGTTTAACTCGTTGCTACTTTTTCAGGTGGTCTTCATGTGGTAAAATTATGATGCGAATACTTACCCGTTGGCTTATAATACCCTTTCCGAGCGAGCGCATTACCTTTCGCGCTATATGCTACATTCACCGCGCACACTCTCTGCGCAGCGAGCAGGAGGCTCTTTGCGGCTTTGGAAGCGCGCGAAATTCAAATTGACGCGTTGTCGTTGTATGAGCGACCCCCCCCCCCTCCCCTCACCATCCTTCAATCTGTGGTCCATTCCACAGTCCTTCAGCCTGAAAGTCAGTAAGCACGCCAGTAAACCCGGGTAGCCCGACCAGTCCAGTCAATCTAGCATTATTTTGGGAAATAAACATGTTTAGAAGGTTACTTCCTTTAAAAATTCACTCGCATTCGTTTCTGCCACTTGTTTTCATTTAATTTTCGATAGAGTCTTCGTTCGAATATTTTTGCACTCTGTTCGAATCGTTTCATCGATTTTACCCAGACATTCTTCAAACATACTATCCCTCCCCTCTGTTTCACAGTTTCTTTAAATCGAATGCTGTAAGATCGTTTATACTATTTATCGCCAAACATATTGCAGCCGTCGGTCAATGCATATTAACGCCTACAAGACTGCAGGAATACCTCACGTATTGCGCCAAACACCGTGCGGTCGCTGGTCGGCGCGACACGCATATTAGCGCCTACAAGAGTGCAGGAATACTTCACGTATTGCGTCAACCGCAGTGCAGTCGTTGGTAAGCGTGAAACGTATTTGATAGGTATTAATGTATGGGCAGTTCACGAAAACTGTCCAATTTGACCTCCAAGAAACAAAAAATTCAACTTTAATATCTTGGATCTTTGACCTACAATCTAACATGATGGCGAACCATACCTTTGAAAGGGACGTAGCCGAATTAGCGGATGTCGTACAAATGACATTGCGCGAATCGAGGGGGCAATGAAGTTAGAATTTACAAGATATGTTCTTATTTAACTTCTCAAATTTTTTTTTGAAAGTAAGTCAAATATAAGTACAATGAGGACAAGCTAGACTTTCGGTTCACCTAACCATCAAATCCTGAAATAAAGTCGTCCCGTTGAAGCATTGAAATCTCTTTCTTAATTTTATCGAAATAGAATGGCTGCGTATATTTCAGAGACGTAAAAATAAAAAGCTATCGGTCGACTAATGCAGCGGCTGAAATTCATCGCATGACAGACGTGAGAAAAAGGGTGTTTTCCTTTATGCCATAGGTACAAAGCCCTTTCCGACACAAAAAAGAAACCCTTTTCTGCACCAGACATTTGGGTCGTTTCTTCTTATGCGACTAACAAGAAATAACCATACCTATTCAGCATGAAGAGATCATCACAGAGCTTTCGCTTTCAGATAGAGCTCAGGAGTTCAAATCATGTCAACACATGGTGAGGCATATATTGTCGTTTTGTTATTCAATCACTCATAAAGCGTCACATTAAAGTGTTTTATACATTTTTTTATTTTTTATTTTATCAATTTCGAAGCACAATAAACGCAATTGATAAATCTTTTTGCGTCTGTTAAACTTTCTGAAATGTATGGATATTAAATCACGATGATGAGCTCACGAGCTCATGATTTTGCGCGCAATTTTTACTTATCAAAAAATTTAGAGTGGAGATAATTTTAATGGTCAACCAAGTCACAGGAAGTTGATACTAATGGTTTACATTTACGGTCATGCATTTCATATCGGACTTTTACAAGGGTTTGGTAGAACCACGCAAAGGAAATGGACCACTAGACAGGGTACGAATTTTAGCATTCTAATTCATGTTTCTGAACTAAAATTTCACGTAGAACACGATTCGCGCAACGAAAGTTACTGAAACCAACTCTTAGCGAAGATATTAACGTTTTTATTTCGCATCAGTTACGAGGAATTTGAACTGGCCGCTCGCGAGAAACTCAAAGCTCTACGTGAGTCAAATCGCGCACTACAATGGTTTCAGCAAGCTTCTCAATCGAGCAATGTTCATCTCCCACCATGTGTTGTTCAAACTATAATCAATTTGCTGTAGCTGAGCCAAAGCGTCAAGACTGAGGTTGCCAGATTTTTATATCGCTGAGACGTTTATGATAACGTTTAGCGGGCGATGTAAATCACGTAGAGCATTGAGTTTTCATGAGCGGGTGGTTTCAATTCACGCATCAAGAATCATTAAATATCTTCGTAAAGAGTTAATTTCGGTAATTTTCGTTGTGCGTATCGTGTTCTACGTGAAATTTTGGTTAAGAAACATGTATCAGAATGCTGAAATTCGTACCTTGTCTAGTGGTTCATTATATTAGTACCCGCCAGTAGTGGAGCTTGTTGTTGAAGGAAAGGCAATAAGATACAACTCTGAAGTTCCGGCGGTGAAGTTGAAGGTGTAAGTCGGCAATCAGAACTCGGTTTGCGACGTCGCAGACCTCCTGTCATATACTTTATTTTTAAACGGAAAGCTAAGTACCTACTCAGCGGCAATTCTTTGAAACTCCTGTGATTTTTCTTCTCTGTGCGAAGAAAATTCTGCAAATATTTCAAGGAAGGATGTCAAATTTGTCCTCCTTTAAAAAAATAACATAGAGGCGAAAATTTTCAGACACTGCAAACGAGATTTGTGATTGCCGACTAACAGCGTCGATCGACGATGAAACAACCAGACCACGTATTTCCAGGCCCGGACTTAGGGCGTGTGCAGGGCGTGCGGCGCACACGGGCGCCAGCCTTTGGGGGGCGCCACGAAAGAAGAAGAGAGGGAAAAAAGGGGGGAAAAGGAAAAGGAAAAAAAAACCGGCGCTCCGCTTCGCTCCGCGCCGGTTTTTTGGGGGGGCTTCGCCCCCCCCAAGCCCCCCCCAGGACGCGCGCTTCGCGCGCGCTTTTTAGTTTGAGTGTCCATTCCAGTTGCTCTGTCTTCTTAAGCGACCCGCGCGTCCACCGCGGGAAAAGTGTATTTTCCGAAGGGGGGGGGATCAATCTGTAAAGGAATGAATTAAGAATTGAAACAGAAGTTGAGTTGTGAGCAGGTGAGCACGTCGTGAGCAAGAAGTTGCGTACCTTGTCGCGAGAGTGCGCGGCGAGCGGGAATCCCACTACTGCGCTGATTGACCAGAGGCGAGAGTTGCGGACGGACGATGTATGAGAAATTGCCTACGTGGAGGCGGTCCGGCAGCAACATACCCACCGGCAGTCACCAGAAAGCAATAGCACAAAATAGTAGTTGCGTACGTTGCCAGCGAACGCGCTGCGAAAGGTTGTGACGGTTAAATGGTGAGATTTTGTTCAAGAACAGATCATTTAACCTGACCCACTGTGCGACGAACAATTTGTCCAGAATCTTCCTTCCCCTGACCCACTGTGCGACGAAAAGTTTGTCCAAAAACTTCTCTCCCCTGACCCACTGTGCGACGATCAGCTTGTCTAAAAACTTTCTCCCCCGACCCACTGTGCGGCCCTGCTCCGGCCGGCTCCCCTCATGCCGCGCACCCCTCGCCTAAAACTTTCAAAGCTCGCCATTTTTAAACGGCTCGGCCGATTTAGCTCAAATTCAATACCAAACCAGTCCTAGGGGAGAACTACCACCCGTAAAAATTTCAGCTCAAAATATTCATTTTCGCTCGAGTTATCGAGTGGACAAGATTTCACCTCCCCCCACTTTCGAGCCCCACCCCTCAAAATCTATTGCCTCAAATTTCAATTTTTTTTCGCAGAATAGTAGTCCTAATGAGTCTCTACAAAATGCAAAAAAATTGGTCAAAATATCTTTCAACGTAAGAATGATATAACCACTCAAAAATCGAAAAATCTTCAAAAGGCGGAAATACATACATACATACATACATACATACATACATATATACATACATATATACATACATATATATATACACATGAATTTGAATAGCATATATTTTCGTGATCTACGACCCGTGATCGGTGCTCTTCACAATGTCTCAGGTCTGGGTCCGACATCATGGGAGAATGCAATAGTGTATTTCCTTCGGAAAATACACTAATACACTAAAAAGGAAAAGGAAACAAGGTTGGGCAGTGAAAGCAAGGAAGAAGGGGGTAATGGAAGGGAAAAGGAGGCAAGAAAAGTGAAAAGAGAGTCCGCGAGAAAGGAGGGGGGGGCATAAAAACCAGAGACAAAATATTAAGAGAATTGCCGTCTAAAGGTAAATTTTCAGGACAAAAACTCCACCTGGTCCATAGACGGTCAGGCGCCCCTTGACCCTAAATTTGCGGCTGTACAGAAATACAAAAGTAGGCATGTAGTATGGGGGCGCCATAAATCCATCGAACAGGAGCCGACATAGCATTTTAAGCCACATCCAACATTTTGGAGTTGAGAATTTTAAAAAATTGACTAAAAATTCGAGTTTTCCTTTGAAAAATACCGTGTGATACCGCGTTTCACAAGACTCGAATAAACAGAAATCGAGATAGCATTTTAGCCCACGTCCGCCATCTTGAATTTGAGAATTTCAAAAAATGGACTAAAAATTCGAGTTTCCCGTCGAAAAATACCTCCTGACACCGAATTGCAGAAAAATTCATCGAACAGGGGCCGAGATAGCATTTTAAGCCATTTCGGTTTTTCGAAGTTTGAATTTTTTGAATTTTGACAGATTTTGATTTAAAACGCGTGATCCCCAAAATCGAAGCTCAGATTCGGATTCCTCGTAAAAAATCGATGCGATTTCATGTATCATACCCTGACACCGAATTTCAGGAAAATCCATCGAACAGGAGCCGAGATGGCATTTTAAGCCACGTCAGTCATTTCAGATTTTCGAATTTGGAAAATTTGACTTAAAACGCATGATACCCAAAATCGAAGTTCAGATTCGGATTCCTCATAAAAAATTGATACAATTTCATGTATCATACCCGAGCATAGCGTGAAGGAAAGAGACGTAACGTAGACATACTGATTCGAGCATATGAATCCAACGTGGCAACATGGGTAGTGCTCAGTGGGTCAGCGGAGGAGGAAGAATAAGAATTTATCGTGAGAAATTCCTCGGGACGAAACCGAACGCTAAGCGCCGGCCGGCGCCTCACCGTTCGGTTGCATCTCGGGCGACCGGTGCGGCGCGGTGGCGTAGTTCAAAAGGGTGGTATGACAGAATCTATACGCGTCGCTAAACCTTTTTCCTTCACGCTTTTTTAACATATGATACATGAAATCTCATCAATTTTTCACGAGGAATCCGAATCTGAGCTTAGATTTTGGATATTACACGTTTTAATCTATTTAAAATCGTAAGAGAATATACAGAATTGTCCTTGAAAATTGATCCCACATTAGTGTTTTTTTACGTCATTAAACCTCTTTCCTTCACGCTATTCTAACAAATGATGCATAAAATCTTATCAGTTTTTCACGAGAAATCCGAATCTGAGGTAAATTTCGGTTTTGGCAGTCTATTTTTATTTACAGATATTTTTTTTGCCATATTGTTATTTAGTAGATGGGTAAAATGATATACCATTAATTTTATTAAATTTGGATTATTAAGATTTATTGAGAAATGCTCTAGGAGATTACTTGAGTCAGGTGATTCCAGAAAATACCTTTTATGAAGTGGGTTGCATGCCCTGGCCCTTGAGGAGGCGCTAAATTTCAATAATCAGATCTGAAGAGTATCACGAACGAAGGAGTTAAACGACATTTTTGTGATTCCGAAATTAGCGTGCAATAGGTGCAATTAGGTGCAATATCACACGAAAGCTTGTTACGCAAATGGATTTTTACTGTGATTGAAACATTCAGGTGAAAAATGAGCACTATGCAGTATTCGAGTTTTTCAAAGAATTTAACATTTGACGAGTTTAACTAAAAATTATTGGTGCTTGAAATTTTTTATGTCTCTCAACTCCCTTTCTCGTGATACACTATAGTGTGCAGGTATAAACAGCTGCAAGTAATGTTTGAAATTACAGAAATGTATGACATCGGTATCCTATAACATTGCCGTGCTAAGGAAGAACGCCGTAGACATTTGAGAGTTGCCAAATTTCCTTCGATAAAATGTTCATTTTTGAGGAAAGTCATGAATATTTTTCCTTTAAATTTTCAGGACTCTTCGGTGGATTTCGAGCAAAATAATTTGAAAAATTGGAGAAAAAATATTCACAAGTTTACCAGAAAATTCGTGTTTTATCAAAGGTGATTTGGCAACGCCTGAAGGTTTATACTGCGTTCTTCCTTATGGCCGTACATTTATACGTTATTATTTGCTCATGGCGAAAATGTGAAAGTTTTCTTACCATTATTTACCGTGCATAGATGAGCCCTTTTCCATGAAACAAAGGCTGATGGTAAAATAATAGGATTCTACCTTCGTCTCTTAGAGAAGGAAAGAATAAAGTCAAAATACCTCATGAAAATATAAAATAAAATTGAAAGTACGTACTAAAGCAAAACTAATTAAAACTCGTTTAGAGTAACAAAAAACAAAATCTAACCATAAAAGGCAATTTTTTCATGAAAGTTTTCTCTCTGAGACAAAAACGGATGGCAATAGTTTTATTAAGAAAAATTGTTTTCACACAATGATTCTCTTTGTAGTTTTTGCAGACTCTTCAAATTTTAAATCAAAATTTTCACAATATGAAATATTTTTGTCACCTTGTTGATGCTGACTAAAGCCAAGACAAAAGACAATGCGTTTTTGACATATTGTCATTCGTGGAATGGAAGAAAAAATATACACATAGAATTGAAAGACATCTTTATTCTGAACTAAATTCTTGAGGAGCAGACGAAAATAAGTAGATTGGTGAAAGTTCAATAGAAATGAGTATCATTACACACTCAAATTAAAATATAAAATTGGTTCTTCATTATTTTGATCATTGTTTATCGAGGGATGTATATGCTCTGATTTTAAGGCAATTTTATGTATTCAGTTATTCAAAGAAAAAGAGGAAAATCTTAAGAAAACTATGGTAATTGTATTCTGAAAGGTACCTACTTCCCAAGTAGCAGAGGTTGCAACAACTTGCAACAAAATCGTTTGATTCTTGCAACTAATAGATTGATGTGCAGATTGCCTACTCTCTCCCCCGAAGGAGCTATCATTGTTGGAACTAGTTGCATTTAAGTTGAAACATGTTTCAACTCCAAAGTATTGCTGTTTGCCTATCTTTAGATTTTAAACAACTTTGGTTCAGCAATTTTGCAATCTCAGCAGGTCGCAACTTTGTCTTCCGATCAGATCGCCGAAATTCGGCACTTATCGACCAAAAGTTGACCGAAAGTTAAAACTTTGTTGCAACTAATTCTAATACCAACATTGTTTCAACTTTTTGCAACTTTTACATTGAAAAATGCTACTTGGGTTATGTTTCCAGGTGATACGAATAATTCAAAGGATAAAGTAATCGAAGTAAATGCTACGGAATTCTGGCCCAATAACCCTGACAAAATCCTTGCGTTTTGGTCAACTTTTTGACCCTTATTCCCCCACCCTCCACTTTCGTGAGGCACCGGTAAGACAACCTCTCACACCCTTTATTCATGGTTATTATGTGGAGAATTTTAAATACCTGCGTCATTTTCATATGCCTGTCACACATGCAAACCCCACCATCAATACCACCATTAGACCATCAATACGTAAGAAAGTTAAGTAGGTTCTCGAACAAATTAGACATTTGGAAAATTCGGAATCGCTTTTTAAACCCACAAATGGGACATAATCCAGCATCAAATAGTAAAACATGATGAATCAGAAACTCATAATTAAATAAGAGAAAAAAAAGGAGTTTAAACTGGTTTTTAAATTTACTTGCAGCGGAGAGTTATCGCTCTATCTCAAACCCACAAGTGGGGTATGAGCCAAAGAATGAAATAGTAAAACATGATCGCTCGGAAATTATTCAGCAAGAAAATTAAGTAGGTTTTCGATTGAATTAAAAATTTGGAAAATTCGGAATCACTTTTAAACCCACAAGTGGGACATAATCAAAAGCATCAAATAGTAAAACATGATGACTCAGAAGCTCATAATTAAATAAGAGAAAAAAAAAGGAGTTTAAACTGGTTTTTAAATTTACTTGCAGCGGAGAGTTATCGCTCTATCTCAAACCCACAAGTGGGGTATGAGCCAAAGAATGAAATAGTAAAACATGATCGCTCGGAAATTATTCAGCAAGAAAATTAAGTAGGTTTTCGATTGAATTAAAAATTTGGAAAATTCGGAATCACTTTTAAACCCACAAGTGGGACATAATCAAAAGCATCAAATAGTAAAACATGATGACTCAGAAGCTCATAATTAAATAAGAGAAAAAAAAGGAGTATTGGTAAACTGGTTTTTAAATTTACATGCAGCGGAGAGTTATCGCTCTATCTCAAACCCACAAGTGGGGTATGAGCCAAAGAATGAAATAGTAAAACATGATCGCTCGGAAATTATTCAGCAAGAAAATTAAGTAGGTTTTCGATTGAATTAAAAATTTGGAAAATTCGGAATCACTTTTAAACCCACAAGTGGGACATAATCAAAAGCACCAAATAGTAAAACATGATGACTCAGAAACTCATAATTAAAAAAGAGAAAATAAACAGCGTTTAAACTGGTTTTTAAAACTAGGTACTTGCAGCGGAGAATTCTCGCTCTATCTCAAACCCACAAGTGGGGTAAGTATGAGCCAAAGAATGAAGTAGTAAAACATGATGGTTCGGTAAATATTAAGCAAGAAAATCAAGTAGGTTTCGATTAAATTAAAAATTCGGAAAATTCAGAATCACTTTTAAACCCACAAGTGGGACATAATCCAAAGCATCAAATAGTAAAACATAACGGCTCATAAATCTCACGACAAAAAAGAACTTCAGTACCTACTTAACTGTAATTTGCAACGCTTTAACTTTACGACGAATGATTAACAGAATACATAGGTAATAATTTGTAAAACTTTTATGGATATAGGTATACCCTCTTTTCGTCTTGATACTCAGCAAGTATTTTCACAAGGGAAGCCGAAACATGAAAACACTGGTGGCAAAATTTTGACTATAATGTGTGGGTTCGATGTAATCTACAATATAAGCATACCTATTCGACTGGAGTTCACTTCCGGGGAGGATACTTCCTGGACGGGTAACGATTTAACGGTATTGGTAGGACTAGGTCGTCAACTTTCAGTTACAGAAGTCTCGAGATTGAGACCCCAGTGGAGTGAAACATCTCAGAAAAATTCCTGAAAAACGCAAATGATATTGATAAGATAGGTCCTCCTAGAAGTAAAAAAATCAGTTCGGTAAGTTTTAGTTTCTAAAATAAAAATTGATCGGGTTTAAAAAATGATGAAGATGCATGGAGATTGTTGAAAGCATTGGGTTTACTGGTAGGAAATTTCGAGTAAGAAGCACCCAATGAGCTGGTTCAGTTCTTAATTTTTAATCAAGGTAGATTTACACAGGTATGGACAGAACTAAACAACTGGCCTCTGATTGGCTCTCCAGCGGCCCCTTAACGTCAGCCATTTTGGATGTTTTGATTATTTTGATTTATTATGTTCGGTTTATCGTTTGTCAAAATTTTGTGGGATTTTTTGCACAATTTTGGTTATACGATATTAATTTTAGCGTTTAAACGCACAAACGTTTGAATGTTACTTTGATTGTAATTTAATTAAAAAACGGGCCCCTTAACCTACGTCACGAGGTCATGTGACACGTACTGAGGCTCATGGGAAATTTTCAACTTTTCCATACCTGTGTAAATCTACCTTGATTTTTAATTCTTCCATCATCGTTTTGTCGAGCAATTTTAATAGTCAGCCCGCTAGGTAGGTAGGCACATGGCACAGCGGAATGAGAGAAAAAGGGAGTGAAGCACGGGAAGGATGTTCATAATTTTGCAATTGATCAAATTTTTAGGAAAATGAAGCGGATTGATTAATATGTACAGCAATACACACATTTCAGTGAAAGGTGGTGGACTAAACTTGAAGGGGTGAGAGTTAGAGCACGGCGTAATTGTATTGAAACAGTTTCAAGTTGACACATTGACAACCTATTTCTTTATGTATTATGTCGAAGCTATAGCAATCGCCGGAAATTTGTAAGCGGCAACCTTGTTAACTCGTCAAATTGCAATAATTCACATCAGAATGGTCAGGGCTCAGCGGTAAAGAACTTTAAAAGCACGATCTCGGCTTTGAGCGCCTTCAATTTCCCGTGATACACTCCGCTTGCCACGCAGTTAGTTTAGTTGCCTATTCAAACCTAACCCAACTAAGGTCACATATCACTAACTAGGGTCAACTAAGGTCGCACGTGCGAGTGTCACCATGTCTTGAAGAATAAAAGGGCGTCTGTTTCAAATTCAAGTATAACGATCAGTGCTCCTTATTTATTGTTTTAAATCTGAATTTTTGTATTTCTCTATTCACCACAAATAGATTGCTCTTTGCCGACGCTTGCCAATTCCCAGCGACATAGTTATTGAAGGGTGCATATTTTAAAACAAATATTATAGGAAATTTTGTCGAATCACAAACGAAATTCATAACAAATTTTGAAAGACAGTTTGCAAACGGTCTTCGTCAGCGAATACATAGTCCAAGGCAACTCTCCAGTTGCAAAGTAATTAAGCTCTACTGTCTCTCATTTCCTGACTCTTTCATTTCACGTCATATTATACTTCCTTTTAATTATATATCTCCACTTTTTGAAAAAAAAAATAATAAAAAATAAAAAAAAGACATAGCTACTTGAACAAATCGATGGACAAAGTGCGGCACCACGCATCTCCGTTAGCGTTCTGTAATGTTTTTTTTCGCCTGGAAAACTAGTCAAAGTAATTCCTTGAAAAGTCCCTTAATATTTCTTTTCTATGATAGCAGGATATTCCGTATGATTCTCAAATTATAAATTTGGCTTCGCAAATATGAAGGAGCCGACATTTTGAAAAATTGCAATGATGCTACTTGGTTCCGCACATTGGCAATTCATATATGTAAAGTATTTTAAAATGATGCAATAAAGTCTCGCATGCATTTAGGAGTCCTAAGAGACTACTAATTTCTGCAATATTCAAAATTATCAAAAATTATAGATTTCACGATGGGATAGTAAAAAAATTGTACAATTAATTGATTTCAATACTGCCGTGCTAAGGAAGAACGCCGTATGAACCTTCAGGCGTTGCCAAATTTCCTCTGATAAAGTACAAATTTACTGTGGAAGTTGAGAATATTTTTCTTCTAATTTCCCGGACAATATTGTTCACACTATAATCTAATACACCCAAAAATTTCAAGGAAAAATATGCATAACTTTCTTCCAAAATGAACATTTTACCGGAGGAAATTCGGCAACTCTCGAATGTTCATACGGCGTTTTTCCTTAGCACGACAGAATATATGTATGACTGATTGTGAGTTACATAATGGCATTACCTTGCTTTGATCTTAGACGTTGATTTTCTAGTCCTTATTTAAATGCGTCTCAGGCTTGAAAGCTCAAAGTTCATTTGACACACCTAAAAGACCCAAAACCCAAGTAAGGAGATCTTCGTTGTTAGCAGAGGAATATAATGACTGGCTGGGAGGTACTCTCATCGTAAAATTCCCTCCTGGTGAGAAATTGATGGCTGTAGGGCAGGCCGGATACCTGCAAGATAACCACTAAGTTAACGTACAAATCAGCTTCAGTTCTTTTCACAAGAAAGCTCTGACCATGTCAAAAAGAATACGAAACTCTAACTACAAAAACTTCGATTTTGGTTTGAGAGCGATAGCACGTCAAAGAGCACGGAAACACTTTCGAACAACAGTTGATAATAGTAATGCCTAACCATTAGCGTCAACCCTACTTATAGGTGACGCCGTATCACAATAGGTAATCTCGCCTTCGCATCAAATGAGTTTCGATTTTACTGTCTTGATTACTTACATACACAGGGCTCAAATACGCAAACCTCTACGCTGCCGTAGAGTACCTATATTGAGAGAGTATGGCCACTGGGGTTACCACCTCTGATTGGCTCAGCCATCTTAGGCTAAATGGAGCCCTTAGGACCCAAAAATGGCGGACGCCTTAAATTAATGTAATGCAAAATAACTCAAAATGTAATTTTCTTTGCTTATCGTAACGAGAAATTTACTCAAATGCACTATTGCGACAACTTTACATATTTTTAAGGCTAATCGTGTGCAAGTTTTGAGAAAAATTATCGTAGATGTAGTAAGGTTGGCAGCAAGTGCGGCTGGTGATAACCGTCAAAAGTTGGCAATGACCCCCCTCCCATCCACAAAAACCAAAACAAAGCACCGCCATTTTTGGGTCCTAAGCCTCTCCATGGGGCCCAGTGGCCATACTCTCTCAATATAGGTACTCTACGCTGCCGTGCTAAGGAAGAACGCCGTATGAACATTCGAGAGTTACCAAATTTCTTTAGATAAAACATGTATTTTTGAGGAAAGTTATTCATATTTCTCTTTGAAATTTTCCGATATTTTAGATTGAAATGCGAACAAAATTATCTGAAAAATTTGAAGAAAAACATTTGCAATTTTCCAAGAAAACTCGGTTTTTAGTGAAGTAAACTGGCAACGTCTAAAGGCTCATGCGGCGTTTTTCCTTAGCAGGGCAGTATGTTTCTGCACATCGGGTGCTTATCAAGTTCTCATCATGCAATGTGCGTTTCCTAACATATTGCGTCGTCGCACACTGTGGTATTGGACCTGAAAAGCTGGCCAAAACTATTTATCACCAGATATCGCCGAGTTTTAAAAATATTTTACAATCAGTACTTCTTCTTAAGTGATAATATGCACAATTTATCCACCTAACACATCATATGACAATTTGCGGAGAGTTTAAAGAGGATGGAAGAAGCCCTCCAAAAAGCCTTTAAAAGGACGCAAAGTATCTGACTAAGGCGGTGCATTTAGACGAGTTTCCCCTTCACCTGTGGTCCACTTTTCGAAATAAGGACTCTCTATGACCTCATTAATGGTTTTTTTATGAAACAGCGTAAGTCCTTTCAAAATTTTTGACGAAACAGCCGATCTCTCACATTGAGGAGTAAATGTACATTTCTCAAAAAAATTAATATGAATCATTCTAGATATTAGATTTTTGACTGTTTTGAATCAAAATTAGTGCTAGTATGAAAGTGCCGGGACCTCCATATGATGATTTGAGGATAACTTATGGGATGAAAATAAGTTTTATCAAAATAAGAACCATTGTGAGGACAGAAAGCACCTATGAAAAGGATTCATTTTGATGGGTTCCTTCCTAACCCATGATCTACATCTCGAAGTGAGGGCACTCTATTAACTTTGAAATTGCCTTTTTTAATATAAAACAGCGTAAGTCACTGCGAAATTCGTGACAAAACCACATATCTCACTTACCGAGGGCCAATTGTATTTTTTCTTAAAATTTAGGTTGATAATAATGGAAGATTTAGTTCTAATGATGTCCCTTTACAATCTGCTGCCTGAGGAAAAATCGTAAAATTACTTTTACGAGGCTTCAAAATGTGCCTCTCAGCGAAATTTCATGGTGCCAGAGGGCCACTTTCGAAGCCCCACCCCACGGCCGGATGGCCTCAAATTTGTCTGTCAAAGTAAAACATGGCATGAATATGTCTATACTCAAGGATAATGCATGAAGAGATCGTTAAATAACGGATTAAACTCTTTTGCAAGACTTTAAAATGACCTTCCCTTCCGCTTTCAAATTATTTTTTTCATCCCTCTTTCGGGGGCGTAGGGGCCAGAAAAACAGGTTGTGTGATTATCACCCAATTTCGTACTAAATGGGTCAGAGGTACTGGAAAAATACAATTTCAGTCGTTAGTATCGACATAATTTTTCTCATTCATGTTTGTGAAAATCGCTCAAAAGTCCATGTTTAAAGTCAAAAATTTCAATTTCCTCAGTTTTCCTCAGTCTGTCGACCCTGAATCCTGAAAAAACCCACTTCGGACTATAACATTCCGCCTGAAACCGCTTGAGAACAGTTGAGAGAAATTTTTAATCGGACTGTGAAATTCGAAAAAAACGTTTACTTTTACATCACTTTTCAACCTCCTGTGAAAATCACTAAAAAAGGAAATTTCGAAAATACTGTGGTTAGTTGTGTAGAATATACCCTTAAGAATGTGTTGCATATTGCCGAACTTCCCTCCTATGGTCGCACAGTTGAAGTAAACTGATCGACGAGTAGCGCGTCAAAACACATAAAAAAAATCGCTGAGAAATAGGTAACTTCGTGGTCTCTTCGCGGGAAATTGAGCCACTCGAAAAATGGCACATACATGGCTACTGGGGTAAAAAACAGTGTAGATTTCGAATATCACATTGGTTTTCCAAAAAAAAAAAATTTAAAATTGAGGTTTTGGCCAGGTTTTTCGGTCAAATACCACAGTGTGCGTCGCGCGCTATTTTTCGATGAAGGTTTTAACTTGAGAGTTGAAGATGAATCATGTTACGTTACCATATTAGACAAAAAAGTACGAATCATGAGAGTAGGAAAACTTCGGATTTCATGAGTTTTTCATTTTTGAAATCGAGAAATTGAAAATGTTATACCAAGACGCGCATACACGGAAGTAAAATTGGAGTTTGGCCATTTTCGATCGACGAGTAAAAATTTCAACTTAAATTTTCAATTATATTGTTTTTTGCTTCAAAGATAAGTTAGAAGTAAGCGACGGCTAAATTGAACCGTGATCTCAGTAAATTGAAAATTTCATTTGCACGCGCTTCAAAATTTTCACTTAATTTTCTAGAAGGAAGAAAAATTCAATTACCTAAGTGACTTAAAATCCTCTAAAGATAAGCAAAAATTGTAAAATTTTGGATAAGATCCGACGATTATCATTAATTTACGTAGAATTGACTGCACAGGGTCTCGAGGCTTCCGCGCCTAAGTGGCACAGGTTACAATAAAATCATGAAATTCATTGCATGATGAAATTCCTGCTAAGCATACGATGCGGCGTCGAGGTGCTTTGTATGTTGCTTGTCCACTAATTGCAGGCGCTCCCACTTACTACAAAAAAATTGAAATCAAGCTAAGTATTTCTTTGTATCGCGCATTAGGCCTATCCTCCTGGTGGGTGAAACTCAATTTTTGAGAAAAATTGGCATTAATTCACGCACTTTATTTGAATATTTACGTTGCACACTGCTACTTATTGGGGGGNGGGGGGGGGGGAGGTCCCCGAGCTAAGAAATTGGTGCTTTTTCACCTGCGGGCTGATAATTGAAATTGATAGACAAAGAAAACAAAGAGAAAGTAGAGCGATCCTATTGGGTGAAACGGGTGGTTGCAATGGACAATTAAAGTCCGAGTCAGTCCGAACTGATTTTGGTTTTTCAAGAGTTTGACACGACGACCACTCATTTCAATCAATTAGATCGCTCCATTTTTCCTTTGCATGTCCTCTTTGTCCCTTGGTTTGTCTATCTTGCTCCCGTTTTTCGAACGAACAGAGGGCTATGAACACGCTGACGCTGCCGTATGAACATTCGAGCGTCGCCAAATTTCCCTAGATAAAAAATGAATTTTTAAAAGAAAGTTATGCATATTTCTCCTTGAAATTTTCAAATATTTTAGATTGCTTATATTGCGAATAAAATTGTCTGAAAAATTTGAAGGAAAATATTTACCATATCCCTAGTAAATTTCCTTTTTGTTGAAGGAGATATGGCAACGTCTGACGGCTCATGCGGCGTTCTTCCTCAGTACGGCAGTGCGCCCTTCCCTTAGATCTGCCTATGATCAGCGGGCGAACCCTAACTCAGCAAGTCTTTAAGTTACTGCATATCGACGGTAAAACTATACTAAACCACGTATCTCGTTTGCGGTGTTTAAAAATAGCCGCTCCCATTTGATTTTTTTAAAGACGAACAAATCAATAGCATTCCTTGAAGTTTTTACACGGTTTTCTTTAGACAGGGGAGAAAAATTGCGGAAAATTAAAAAAATTGAAGTTGAGAAATTTTTCGTTTAGAAGAAAAAAAGGCAGGAAGTCTGCAACGTCGCAAACGGAGATACGTGGTCTGTGGTTTGACCGTCGATATGATGTTTTTTAGACTTCCAAGGTAGTTGAGGGTGACCATGTAGCTTAGTTTCATCCAATAGGCCCGTAAAAATTCAAAAAGTTGTACGTGATATAAATATTATTTTCTTTTCAAGTCGAAGAAATTTTCGTTTATTCAGGTGATTTTTTTCTCTGACTATTAAAATGTTACTTTGCCATCGATTGCAAATTTATTTTCTTTAGATTAAAGAAAAAATTCAATGTAGATCAAAGAAAAATAGTTTCACTATAACAATTGCATTAAGAAATAAAAATTCTGTAAATCAAGTAAATATTATTTAAAATTTTAGTAAACGTTTTTAGCCGTTTTTTCCGCGAAGGTAAGAATGAAAACCCTACTAAAAACGTTTTCTCCTCAAATTTTTGGAAATAACATCATATCACACAACGGAAAATTTGGTAATCAACTCCTAAACAAGATATACGTGTTTACAAAGTAATACGAGTTCTGTTGTGTGTACTCAACGTTGAAAAAACAAATTTTTATCGATTTCAAGGAAAAAATCAATTTAATATGATTTTTTGCGTGGTTACTAATTAGATAATGTCAAGAAATAATTAATTAATTTCACTTAAATAACATGATTTCTAATTTAACTATTTTATCTCTTCTTCTGTTTTTTTCTTCTGCTTATTTCAGCTCCATTCTTTTTGGAAAACAGATATTCGTAGCGTAATAAAGCGTCCCTAAAAATGTCGAGGAAAATAATATTCTACAATTCCGAGGAAAATTCGTATTACATTAGAAAAAATTGGTAACGCAAGGGTTTTTGAGGCGCTTCACGCCAATGCAGCCAAACTGAAGTTTAACGAAGTCACAGTTGCACCGCATGTCCGTCCCCAACACCGTATGTTGGGTTCGACGTCCGCGAGATAACTATTCGAACTCCTAGGATGTGCTGGTTGCGGCTCGATTCAATTGAAGGCGTTTTCACCGGATCGAGTCGGTTTAAGTAGCGAAGTGAACGCATAGTAGTAGATTGTCGCATCGCATTGTGCAATTGAGTTTACTGTAGGTATCGCCGGAGATTCCGGCGATTTATTTTAATGAAGTGATTCAATTTCTGCATTGGAACATTTTTATATTGAAGACAAAGAGGCTTTTTGAAATATGATTGAATATCTTTTCATTCGTGCAATATTTGTGAACTTGCTAAAAATTGGTAGATCAGGTGTTTTGCAGGTCAGATGACAGTCCGTTTTGGACAAGTTAGCATTCACGAAATTGAAAATAATACATACGAATAAAAAAGTAGGTACACAGTTTATTCTAAATTAAAGAATTTGAAGGTCACAAAACACAAAGACAAGTGAAATAAAATAGAGCATAATATTAAATTTTGAACTGACCGGAGCTTCATTATTGTTGGTCGTTTTCCGTCAGGCTGATTTCTTTGATTTTAGACTAGGCAATTTTCAAAATAGGTACAGCTTTCTCAGAGAAAAAGGAGAAAGACAAAAGGAGATTTAAGTTTTCTGTGGACAGGCAACGTGTCATATTGAACCGTGGACTACATTTTGAAATTTTGCGAGGTTTAACATGGATTTTTTTCGAATTCTATCACCGAGGTTTTTGGCATCTCCAGGTGCCGAAAACCCCGAACATTCCATCATTCTTAAACCGACGGTTTTTAAGCCATCATCAAAATTATATATGAAGGGAACGTGCAAAGACAAAAAAATCTTGTGAGAGGGAAAATAGTTTTAAGTTTCATGCTCTCCATCGATGGGATAAAATCCAAAACATCTTGAAACTAAATTCCCCGTAATTACAAGGAATCTATGTACATATATTTTCAATTATCACTTTTGAAAAAATTATTTACATTTTAATAATAAAATCGCAATGTAGCCAAAACAGGACTAATAGAACATTTTAAATCCAAATAATTCGTTGCGAAGAAGGAGAATCCAATAAATTGATAAGCATGTACTTAAGTACAAGTCTTAGGATATTCTTTTAGATACTCACCAAGACAAGAATTTATCTATAGTACCATCCCAAAGATGGGTCAGAATGTAGAGCATAAGCACATAAAACATTTTAAATCCAAATAATTCGTTGCGACGAAAGAGAATCCAATAAATTGATAGGTAAGCTTGTACGTAAGTACCAGTCTTAGGATATTCTTTCAGACACTCACCAAGACAAGAATTTATCTATAGTACCATCCCAAAGATGGGTCAGAATGTAGAGCATGAGCACATAAAACATTTTAAATCCAAATAATTCGTTGCGAAGAAGGAGAATCCAATAAATTGATAAGCCTGTACTTAAGTACAAGTCTTAGGATATTCTTTCAGATACTCGTCACCAAAACAAGAATTTATCTATAGCACCATCCCAAAGATGGTTCAGAACGTAGATCATAAGCAAATAAAACATGTTGATCTAAAAAATTTCGTCACAACAAGAGATAATTGAATAATGCGATGAACTAGTGCTGAAAAGTGAAGTAATATGCTTTTGAATCTTCGTACGGGACACTACCCAAAGTATCGCAGTAAATAGATAGGTTTAGTCCGTCTACAATACGAGCATACCCAGGTATTCTACTAGAGTCCAGGGGAAGATATCCTTGGACGGCCTTGAAATGATTGAGTTTTGGCGAAGCTAGTCAGCCTGGAGTTATAGTCTTGAGATTGAGACTACAATAGGGTGGAACATCTCCGGAAAATCCTCGGAGAATACGAATAAACTTGATGAAACAGCACCTCCTGAAAAATCGAACAAGCTTCTGTTACTGAAGTTTCAGATTTCAAGACGACAAATTTTAGGATTAAGTAATTTACGAACATGTTAAGGGGCCGTCCATAAATTACGTAACGCTCTAGAGGGGGAAGGGGGTCAAAGAGAGAGTCACGCCATATTGTTTTTACTTGTTTAAGGATAGGGACTTACGTCACAAAAGCGTTAGGGAGGGGGGTCAAAAATGCCGAAAAAAAGGGTTACGTAATTTATGGACGGCTCCTAATTGGACCCCGTTTAACAGAAAGGAACCAAGTCACATCAGCTATTGTCAAATTTAACTGATCAATTTAATTTTTTATGAAAGAGCGTTTCTGCGGACACCTTTGAAACTTTTAAAGGAATTTGCTCCGTAATATGGAGCATATTCACTGAAATTTGCACGAAAATCTGTACAACCGTTTTCATGTAGAAAATTAAAAGTCCCACCCTGGTAAAAATTAGCGATAAGAGCTGCGTTTCAAAATACCATAGGAATTCATATAGCCGGCTAAAGAAGGCTACAGAAAATCATATTGCTGGCTGTAGAATGCGGAGAAAATCATACGGCCGGGCTAAACGAAGCGATAAAAAATTATGCAGCCGGGCTATAGTTCCTATCGCCGCCGGGCTTTACACTTAATCGCCTGGCTGTTGCTTTTTCGCCATCGATTATAAAAGGCTATAAGAAATTGTGTAGAAATTCGTGTGCTTTGGAAATCATTAAGTTCGATACGGAACCACCTTAATATTTACAAAACACACATTATATTTTCCTCTAATACATATTTTTTTTCATCAATTAAATGAGAATAATCCATACAGGATGTGCAAACATTTCAAAATCATGAGTTGAATAACGCTGACTCCGCCAGATTAAATATTAGAGCCTAACACAAAGCGGAGCGGCGACGCACTGGCGCCTACAAACCTATAAGGGATATTTCACGCATTGCGCAACGCGTGAAGTATCCCTGTTAGGTTTGTAGGCGCCAATGCGTGTTTCGCGCTGACTGCCCGCCTGCCGCGCCGCAGCGTGCCACGGCGCTTGAAGCAACCATTTCACACCAGAGGTATTGCACAGTATCATACGAAACTGAAGGCGCTCTAATATATTAGAAATGGCAGGCATCCATCAAAAGTACGGAGCTTTCCTCGCAAAATAAATCAAGATACTACGGCCCAAAAAAAGAGCAGTACTTCAAGAACTCACTAAGTCCTAGCATCCGTAATTAGTAACGTTTAGCATACACTTTATCGCCTGGCTGTTGCTTAGTCGCCATCGGCTATAAAAGACTTTAAGAAATTGTGTAGCCGGCTATAGAAGGTATTGGAAATCTTACAGCCGGCTGTAAATCTATGGTATTTTGGAACACAGATTCTACTGCCAATTTTTACCAGGGCAATTAAATTTGGGAATAGCTGATGTGGCTTGGTTCCTTTCTGTTTAACGCGGTTCAATTGACGTATCCGCAATTTCGAGGAAAACAAGTTTGAATAAAAGAGAAAAAGCAAAATCACATGGCACCCCACGGCTGAAAAAATTCTCAGTCGGTATGGTGAGACTGAAAATAATTGAGTTCCATAACTCCCCCAACATTTTTTTTTTTTTTTTACTTGTGAGGTGGGTAAGTGCATCGAGTCTAACAATACTGGAAATGATTCGATGACCAACGTGGGAAACCACGTATCCCCCTTTACGACGTTGCAGACTTCCTGTCATTCTTTATCTTTTCATTGGAAACTTAGTCAACTTAATTTCTTGAAGACTTTCCGTGATTTTCCTTCCCTATCAGCGGAATATCCCTTAGAATTTTAAGCTAGGTACATCCTAATGTTTCCAGAAATGTTATTTAACAGTTTTGTAGGCTGGTCCTCAATTCTGGCAGTAAATTTTTGTAAATTGAAAAATTAAAAATGACCATATTTTCGTAGTTAATTGCAGGTTGTACGTAAAAACAGACAATTGTCACTCGTAACAAGTAGAAAAATATAAAGATGACCAAAGTGGAAAACCACGTATCTCCGTCTACGACGATGCGATGCAGACTTTCTATCATACTTACTTTTTTCTTTGGAAAACTAGTCAATATAATTTATTGAACACTTTCGGTATTAGATTTTTCCTCTCTGTTAGCAGACTGTTGTGCGTGAATTTCAAGTCATAAAATGGCTTGTTTTTCTTAAAAAAAAAAAAAATAAAAATAATAGGAGCGGAAATTTTTGGATATTTTAATGGAGATACGTGGTTTCGCACTTTCGCCGGCTATAAAAGAGCCGAACAAGAGAATATTCTTAATTTTTTAATTAAAAAAAAAAAATCGAGGCAAATATGAATGATTCATAAAATTTGCAGAGCCGCACAGTGTCGAATGACGTCATTACATACGGGTTTTATTTGCTTGCCTTTATATATTTCTATTTATATTCTTCTCGCCTCACATTTAATAAAAACAAAATGCCGAGAACACTTTTAAATGAAGCAATGCGATTTTTTCATGCAAATACAATATCTATTTGGGTTGCTTTTGCATGAGGATACCTACTAAATGGGCGTATTTCTATCAAACGGAACTAACTATAACGGGGAGGAAGGGAGAGGGGGGCTTGGATTGGCGAGTGTTGCGGAACGCAATGCTCGTTCCGTCCTATTCTCGCAATGCTTTTTCATGGCGCTTAGTTCCGTTTGACAGAACGCGCTATCCGGGATGCTAAAATCTTCGAAAGGAACTCAATTTGGCGCTTAGTTCCGTTTAACAGAAATACGTCCAAATGGTGCAATGGTAAGAAGTATTTAAAATTTTAATGCGCAGTTTAAATTGTATGATCATCGCACGTGGTTACCTTGTGTTGATCGTAGGTGTTGGTTTTTTAGCCCCTCCGGAAAATTTCCTAGGCTTTAATCTCCAAGTCTACGAAATGGCTTCTACTGAAGGCGCGCAAGCTTTGATGCAAGCAGAAGAGTAATGATGGATGGGTAGGAGTAGGAGGTAATCTCGTCGTAAGATGCCCGTCGGGTAAGAAGTTGATGGATCTTGGGGCAGCTAGGATGAATCCGCGAGAAAACCACGAAATTAACGCGGAAATCCTTTATTGCTACTTATTTAATTGTCCTGAACACGTAAGTAATCACGTTGAAGAGACAGAAAATTTTAAAGTATAGAAAAAGGTAGATTTCGGTTTCGGAGTGATAGCACAACACGCAAAAGAACGCAGAGGAACGTTTGAACGCTTGTCAACCAAAACAGTGCCCTATTAACACCGTCACACCTTTTTATAAGTGAGACCGCTTCACAATTATCTATTTTTTATATCAAATGAGCTTAGATTTTAACGGTTTTATTTCGTCTTTCAGAGCTCAAATGCCTCTCAAGGCGCTTGTTTGGTTTCTTATCAGCCGGATCGCTGCATCACGTAATATTGCACCGTTGTGTGTAACTTTTCATCGTATGTTACACGGGTTTGAACGTTTAATAATGAGTTACAATAAACCCGCGAAACACACGTGCGAGAGTGAAGACATTTTGGCTCTCCCGGCACTCGCCGTTTCACACGCGGCTGCGGCCTGAAGTGCTGAACTGCGAGGACCCAAATGGACCGCGTTAAACAGAAAGGAACCAAGCTGTTGCCAAATTTAACAGGGACACATCATTTTTTACGAGAGAACGTCAGTGCGGATTTCTTTAAAAAATTTCAGGGATTTGCTTCGCACTGTGGAGAAAATCCACGGAAAGAGGGTTATGCAAAACGGCCAAAAAGTGACCCTGCGGGGATTGTACGAAACTTTGTGGGATGATTGTATAGGTCATTTTGGGCCTGCATCTGGCTGCTTTTAGGCGAAAACCGCAGGGAAACAGCGTTGCCATTTTTTAAAGTCGTAACCTTCAAACACCCATAACTTTCGCAAAAATGCAGTTACAGAGCTCGTATTTATACCAAAAAATGCGGAAAATTTTGTTCTATCGACCAACGCAAAGGAAATTTTTATTTGAGTCCACTGTTGCCACGTTTTGGCCATTTTTTTAATTTTCATAATGATTAAAAATCACGTTATCGCCTAAAAGTGTGTTTGCAGTTGGTGGGGATTGAATAAAAACCTGTCGGAATTATTGTTCGTTCGATTCCGCATCCATTGATATGTTATACTTTTCTGAGAGGCTTAGGGAATCCAAGTTACAGCGATTTAAAAATTCGGCAACACGCCCGACGCCCGATTTTGACGCTCGTTAAGGTACGTTTCGCGACTCCGTGTTGAAGGAGAACGCCTAGATAAAACAAAATTCGAAGAGCCAGTTCATGTTTTACGCTTTTTTGAAACTTTCACGTCATTTTCAGAAATTCAAGTAGCGGCGGTGTTGCCGGTTTTCGATATTGTATCGAGATCAAGATCGATGGATCTAGGTCCCTTTCCAAAACTAATCATCAGACCGCTCGGGTGATTCGGTAGCCTTAAATTTCGATACCTAGTTATTGTCGGACACCAGTGCCGTTGCAAAGAGATAGAAGAAACCATCGATTCGATAAATCGACAATTCCAACTACAGAATAAGGCTGGACGTGATTTAATGAGTGATACATTTTTTTTGTGATTGCGGCGGCGGTTTCCTTGAAAACTGGCAACCCCGCCTCTACGCGAATTCCGACGGAAATCAGGCGACATTGTTAACATCATGTTGCAAATGGTCAGTTTAGGATAAACTATGTAGCTAGACGTGATTAAATGAGTGCTACTTTCAATTGTGATCGCAGCGGTGGTTTTCATTGAAAACCGGCAACACCGCCGCTACTTGAATTTCTGAAAATGACGTGAAAGTTTCAAAAAAGCGTAAAACATGAACTGGCTCTTCGAATTTTGTTTTATCTAGGCGTTCTCCTTCAACACGGAGTCGCGAAACGTACCTTAACGAGCGTCAAAATCGGGCGTCGGGCGTGTTGCCGAATTTTTAAATCGCTGTAACTTGGATTCCCTAAGCCTCTCAGAAAAGTATAACATATCAATGGATGCGGAATCGAACGAACAATAATTCCGACAGGTTTTTATTCAATCCCCACCAACTGCAAACACACTTTTAGGCGATAACGTGATTTTTAATCATTATGAAAATTAAAAAAATGGCCAAAACGTGGCAACAGTGGACTCAAATAAAAATTTCCTTTGCGTTGGTCGATAGAACAAAATTTTCCGCATTTTTTGGTATAAATACGAGCTCTGTAACTGCATTTTTGCGAAAGTTATGGGTGTTTGAAGGTTACGACTTTAAAAAATGGCAACGCTGTTTCCCTGCGGTTTTCGCCTAAAAGCAGCCAGATGCAGGCCCTAAATGACCTATACAATCATCCCACAAAGTTTCGTACCATCCTCGCGGGGTCACTTTTTGGCCGTTTTGCATAACCCTCTTTGCACAAAAAACCGCACATCCGTTTTCGTTTCCGTTAAAAAATTAAGTTGCCCAATTAAATTTGGCAACAGCTGATGTGACTTGGTTCCTTTCTGTTTTACCAATTTTGTGTTTAACGCGGTCCAGATGACAGAGCGCCTCCAATTCTTTACACTCGTTCATACTACGAAGATACCGCCTAGGCACGAATAGTTGCTTGTCATACTCAGCACATCATTGTATCAAAACGGAAACACGATAAGTGTTCACATCCTACACGCATTTTTGCAACTATTATTGTCTTGATGTCTTGGTAGTAAAAGCGAAGACCTAAAGGCACTCAGTAATTTTGGATTCTTGCAGTGCAGCCTGCTGTCGCGCCGCGCCGCGGGTGAAGTAGTGAGTGCTGAGTGTCTGCAAAATGAAAACGCCTTAACTTCTGTGCTTATGCAACGCGGACATCCGTGGAGCTCGAATAGTTGCATTCAGGTGTTGTACTGAAATTCGCTAGGTGTTCATTGCTTTGCTTTAACAATTACTGATTTTCATCGTAAAAATGTCAATTTTTGTCAACATACGTAATTTGACAAATGTAATAGGTATATGCTTGCCCTTCTACACGGAGAAAAAAACTTCGTGCATGGGACCCGAAATTGAGGCCATATGGATCTCTGAAGTTTTCGGATCACGCATCCGAAAACTTGAAGTCCAACTGCCGAAGTTTAGGGTCAACCATCTGAAGTACTTCGGTATATACCGAAGGGTTCAGGTCACACATCTGAAGTACTCCGGTACATACCGAGAGCTCCGGATGGCTGACCTGAACTTCGGCAGTTGGATTTTCGGATGCGTGATCTGAAAACTTCAGAGATCCGTGTGACCTCAACTTTGGGTCCCATGCACGAAGTTTTTTCCTCCATGTACGTATGCGCCTCGTCCTCCAAGCCCCTCAAATGTAGTTCACTATCAACATTACTTTTCTTTCTTTTTTGTTCCTTTTTAATTTTGGAGGCAAATGACGGTGCCAAGGAGGCAATAAGTGATTACACCCATCCCACGTCGGAGTAAAAAAGAAACCCCGGTATAGTTTCTGGGACGCATCACTATCAAGCTTCATGACAAACAGTTAACTCGGTCTTATCAGATAGCTTTCAGTGAGACATTGCATTCCTTTGGAAAGGCCTTGGTTTTTTTCATCCATTCTATGCCGCCGTCACTTCCGCCTTTGAATTCTCGATGACGCAAGGCTGAATTCTGAAAAATCATGACTCAAAAAATATAAGTATTTCAACAACTCTTACTGTAAGCAGGGGTTTGAAAACATTGAGACATCGAGCACATTATGCTAAAATACTGGGTTCAGTTTATATTGTTGGCGAAAAACGGATTAACATGAGAGGTACATCTCATTTATGTTAATTCACTACAGATTTTTTATGTAAACCCTAAATTAAAGGCAAGTTCCCGACCGCGAAAATTACGTATATCTGTTTAATTTGAATAATCCAATGCAATACCTTCCTTTCGGATACCTATACTTATTCTGTCTCTAGCTCAATTTTGGTGTTGACAAAATCGCTTACTTACGGGTAGAGACAGCTGAAGAGCACTTCTGGGTTTTCTTAATAATCACTTTTTTTTGCCAAAACCAGCTCAAAGTGAAACCAGTAATTTAGCAAAATTTGTTAGATACCTAGATGACTGCTCACTTCCAGTGTAGTTTCATCTAATTTAATCACTTGAAAATTTTACGGTATACCTACTCTCGACGTTAAAAGGAAAAATCACGGAAAGTTTTCAAGGAGTAACAAAACTGTGAGAGTTTTCTGCTCGAAAAGTAGAGTGTCTATGACTAGACATTTACAAAATCGTAAACATGATCGTTTTCTATAAGTTCAGCAACCTGTATTGAAAACGAACAAGCAACACGTACAATGATAACGATACGTTGAAGCATGTCAATGCAGTCTCGAAAAATGAAACGATTTCGAGCACGCAACTAAGTATTTTAACTCTGAGGATGGTTTTTTGCCTACATCCAAAATTGAAGGCGAACTCTACCTTTTACTCTGACCGATCCGCTACTGCGTGGACGTTTTAAGTGTAGGTAATCGTGCGAATCCTTGTACAAGTATCGAGCGTGTCATTATGCTTGAATCGACTGGATTTGTTTTAGTTTGGAAAAAAGTTTTGAAAATAAGTTCAATCTCAATGCCTCAGTGTTGCAGACCGTATAACTCTATGAAGACAAAGGCCGAGGTCCGTAATAAAATGAAACGACGTCAAAAACTTTGCGTCAAGTAAAACTTTTCTTGATTTGATTTTTTGGAATGTCAAGATTTTTTTCAAGCAAAAACTTGAAAATCTGAAATTCCCTTTATGCAAAACTGAATTCATAGAGTGGCAGTATATAGACAACCAATTTGGAAACGGGAAGTTATGATGTGGTTTTTGCATAAAATCCTATAATATCGTGCTAAGGGAAAACGCCGTGTGATAACACGAGCGTTGCCTAATTCCTCTGCAGTAAGTATAACATAAATTGTATAATGTGTATTCCTAACACAAATTCTCTGGAGTATTTGAGAGCTTTCTTCTGAAGAAATTAAATTTTAAAATTTTAATTGATTGACAACTTGCGCAGGAAAGCTCCCTCAATTCAAAGTGAAACTTTTTCTTAAGTTTTTCGGACAATTTACCCTGCAATTTTATTTAGCGTTTTATAAAATTTCATCGAAAACCTATTATATTTTTATCACCTTTTTATGACTAAATACTTAATTAGAGGAAATTTGGCAACGCCCAAAAGCTAATACGTCGTTTTCTCTCACTTGTTACGTCACAGAAAAAGCGGCATTCATCGATCTATTCTCACTGGTGGCATCGAAAGGGGTGATGTCATTTTTATTGTTTGAATGCAATTCGCTGTAATGGAGGATCCCTATGATGACGTAACCACTGATTATATTTGAATATTCTGATATGGAGTATGGATAATAAAAAAATTTAGCCCGCATCCTCAGTGTTGTTATTTTTTCGACATTAAATTAAGCGAGGCTATACACACGCGACTATTAAACTCATAATCACTGAGCTGATAAGTATACCTGATTAATGAGAACAATTAAAAATGAAGGTTTTTGAAGAGCGCTGATGATAATAAATTAGAGGGTTTGGAGGACAAGGCGCATAAGTATAGTTTCTGAAAAAATAGAGATACTAATGATTTCAAGTAAAACTAGTCTTGATGCAAATTTTGTGAAAAATTCGCTCCAAAATTCCAATTTTAAAGCATCGAAAAGTCAGTTTGAACTATCTTTCCGCCATTAAAATCCATGTACTTTCTGAAGTTCAAAGCGTATTTCTCGAAATAGCAAAAACTGTCCTTTAATACGCCTTGTCCTCAAAGCCCCTCAGTTTCTCTGTAAGTAGAATAATACCATGAGTAAACCTTAGCTTCAATGACAGAAAAAACAAGAACTCGGTTTTTTTTCCGTTGAAAAAAAAACGAGCCCCCACAACACCGGGTGTTCTAATCTAATCTTCTAATCAAATTACGTTCGAAGTTCGTTAACTAATAACACACCTGCAAACAATTGGACACAGTTGAACCGAGACGCAAGGAGTCTTTATAATTAGGAAAAACTTGAAATGGGGGAGAAGTAAGTACGGAGTATTGCATTCAACTATCTGCAATAATGTTCCTATGTTAATAATTCACTGTCGTCAATTGAAAATAGTTAAAGCGTTCAAATAGTCGTTACATTTTATCCTCTACAAGGAGGAATCCGAACCTTTATTTCCGGATCCGGAAAAATGGGGGTTTCTGGCGGATTTTCTTGATTTCAGGGCCAGATTTACTAACTTGCCGTGGGCCGCCTGAAATTGGCTGCCTCCTTCTCATTCGTTTGGAAACATCAATAAAAACCATGCAAGTGAACGTGCTGGAAAGGGGGGGGGGTGTATAAGATGTGTTTACTCGTGTTGGACGCATTTTCTGCGAAAGCCCTGTCAACGCTAATGGCAAAAGTTCACGGGACTTGGCGGAAAAGTTAAGTACTTAACTTACGGATAGGTTTACGGAACGATCCGTAAACCTATCTCTGCGTGGACAAGGCCTTCCATTTGGACGGAGTTAAACAGAAAGGAACCAAGCCACATCGGGATCGAACCGAGAAAAAGAGGTTTAAAGTTTGGCTCCGGCATACGACTCAATGTAAAAGATAAACTTCAAGTTCAATTTCTGCAAAATTTGCTCCAACAAAAACTTTGAATTTTTGGCGATAGATAGTAGACTAGTGGTTGAACTCAAAACCACTCATAACTCAATTTTTTCCAAAATGTGGGTTGGTTCCTTTCTGCTTAACTCAGTCCATTTATATGAAATAAACGAAAAATTATGAAAGAACAAACATAAATGTGTGGTTCAATAATTTTAACTTCCGCCGCCGCGTCGCGCTGACCGCACTGTGTTTGGCGCAATGCGTGAAGTATTCACGCAGTCTTGTAGGTGCTATGCGTTTCCCGCCGCCCGCTGCTGACCGCGCGCACTGTCTTTGACGCAATGCGTGAAGTATTCATGCAGTCTTGTAGGCGCTAATATGTGTTACATGCCGACCGCCGCGCGGCGGGTTTCTCTTTTTCATCTCAAGTTCTCATCATGAATGCTCTCTGCGCCGCGCCGTTCCAGGCCAAATTCGGTGTTCGGTTTCTCTCTTATAGTCTTAACTCGACTAATTAAAGGTGCTGTCCATTGTATCTCATAAAGACGACAAAATTAGAGATAAACTCTCAGGAAATGAGAGATTTTGTCACTTTTTTTCGTTAGTAATTTTTTTTCTGAATCCGATTCTTCTTTATACCTACATTTAAAAAAATTGCAACAATAAAGAAATCGGTGTTTTTGTTGTAAAACACGTTTGCCGAATTTTGGTACTTAAGAATTGTAAAAAAAGCATATTCTGATTTACAAACCCCCTTGAATATGTTATTGAACAACAGTTTTTAGGAAAAATTTTAGCCAGATCGCAACCTCTACTTTTTTTTACAGTTTTTTTTAAAAAAAACGGGGAGGAAGAGATAGGGAAAAAGCACCAATTAATAACTGTGAATTTCTTTTTATGTAACATAACAATATCAACAAATTACTTATGATACAATGCGTATTGGTATAATTTCAATAAATTAGAGACAGCATGATTTACACATTTTTTCATATTCTCTTTTTGTTTATTTGCCGTGCGATTATAAAATCCTCTGTCCAAAATCACAAAATCATCTTAAATTAATCAACACAACAGTGCGTAAGAAATTCAGTATAGAGTGTGTTTTATTTAATAAAATGTGTTCACTTAAAAGTTTCAAAAGATACGGTACATTTGATTTTTAACTCCTTAACTGCTTATTAAAGGAAAATTGTGGTATTGGATCGAGTTAAGTGCTAAATTCAACTTAAGACTTAAACTGAATATCCTGCTTTTTAAATTTTGGTTGCAGGTTCGGATAAAAAATGGTGATTGGATTATAAAAAACTACACAGAAGAATCAAAAAGTAAATTTTGCATTACTTCACATCAAAATAGTGAAAAATTATACCAAAAAATGGTATTGGCTGGGGTTTGAAGACTTGGAGTAAGCTTTTCTGCAAACAAAATGAAAATATTGTTTCATTGGAAAAGCCAACTGGAGCTTTAGAAATTATGCTCTCTATGTGGACAAGGTTTTGTGTGCTTCTAATAAGAGTACATTCGTTAATCTGATACTTCTACGTCATTAGAGTACATAGTGAAAGAAGGAATTTAAAGTCTCATACATCGTGTTCCATAAAACACACCCATACTTTTTCTTTCTCCTTTCGAAGGAAAGTAGAATCCTGCAGTTTTTATACTGCTAAATAATAGGAAAATATTAAGGAAAAAAAAGAAGAAAAAAAACAGGAAGGAAAAATAAAAAAAGGAAGGAAGAAAGGGACATGGAAACAATTGAAACTTGAAAACTTTATGTTTTCATTTTTTGAAGTTGACCATGAACTTTTGATGCATTAATAAAATTATTTTTAGAGCTAAGGTCATGATCCTCCTAATCCTGTAACTCTGTTATGGAAGCTTATTCCCCCTTACTAATTCACCGTCTTTCCAGAACGGATACACCTAAAAGAAACTCACAACGTTCTGCTTATGATGCAGGGACAATGATGTATAAAGAGAAACTGAAAAATAAATGATACAGAAATAATAATAATGATGATAAATTTTTACCAATATTCTAATTTCCTACTCCAATTCTTTTTCATACCCATACTTTAAAGTTTCAGGAAACTGAAATAAAATCATTAAAATGCAGCAAGGAATCACAAATTCTGACCCCCTGATCATTTCACCACAATCTTAATTACTTTTTCTCTCTAGTTAGGTATCGAATAAAATATTTCCTATTTTTAGATAGTAGTGAACACAATAATTTATTACCAACCGTTGAGGTCAAATAAAAGAAGAAAAAAAGCAGTTATCCTTAGGTGGGTAAAATTTGTACAGATAAAATGGACACTCTCAATTTTGTGTTACTTTTGGTGGTAAAGGGGGAGAGGATAATGTTTTTGAACAGAAGGTACCAAAAATGAAAAAAAAAGGTCCTCTTCTTGGTAAAAGGGAGAAAAATTAAGTGTTCGCGCAGGGGTTCACAGATATTAGAAAGTATAGTGAGTCAGCAGACAAAAATTTGAAATTAGAATTCAGATTACGTAAAAGACAAAAACAAAACTTAGGAATAAAAACACAAATGGAATGTAATACATAGAAAGGTTGTCCTATCCTAAAATGCAAGCTACATTCATAACTAAATTACAATTCCAGATTCTGTGTCCACCCTATGCAGTCCTGATGAAAGGTTGGCCCTAAATTTAGGAATAAGATTAGAGCTAAGCTTTTTTAATTTAACATGAGAAAAATAGGAGTCCCTTAGCGTCTACCGCAGGAGTGGATTTTGTGTACATCAAAATTCAGCAGCTGAGAAAAAAAGTAAAAAAAATGTTCAGCTGCAAAAACACAATTTTTTATGATACTTTATCACTAGGGAAAAATGCAAAAAGAAAAAAAATTGAGTTAGATAGATGAATTTTTATAATACTGATTTGTTCGGAACCATAGAGAAAAAGAAAGAGAGAAAAAATTCTTTACTCTAATGCCGTATCAATATTGATACATTTTGAAAATAGTACACCTCAATGGTTTTTTAAAAAAGTAACGAATCAAAATAAAATACAAATGCTATAATAGTGAGTTTGCTGAAAGCAATATATATTTGAGTACTGATCGTGTCTTCTGGCATTTTTCCAGTAAAACTCTGAACCATTGCTGCATCCTGATATTGCTATTGCTTTGCGCAATATCAAATTGGCCCAAGCGAAAACATTTGTTTTTTATGGCGAAGTTCTAGAATCACAAACAATATTTTGCTTTACACTATTGACAGCCTTGACAGCTGTGTAGTTAACCTCAATAATTATCTTGATTAACTTCAGTGAATTCAAAAAAATTATTTGACGATTCTGGTACCTCAAATCAATATCAATTTGCAAATTAGGATGAAAACATTGTTGTATATTCTAGAAATGTTAACAGACATCAAATATTTCCATTAAATCAAATGCAATTGTCTAATGCCTGCTAGAGAATGTGCTGTGAGAATGATAGTTACACGTGAGGCGTTGAGTGCAGAGAGGGAATTTCTTGGTTGCAGTGTTTAAGAGTCTCTTTTGCTAACTTACATTTTAGAGAGGAAACTATTGGGTGAATTTTCTGCAATTTTTCGTTTTCAGAATTGTAAAATAATAAAGAAAATTCAGTAAATGTTTTAACAAATTCCATGCATTTGCTTTACTTATGGTGGATGAAATGTTAACGGAGATCCTGAGACACCGCAACCAAAAAATGCTCTTTCTGCACCTAGCGCTTTACTTGCTGTGCAAAAAGTAAGCTTGAGGGCTTGACTTGATTTATACTTAATTTACTTTGTTTGAGCCTGATTTTGTGAGACACAACACGAGAAAAAACAAAAAACTAAAAGCAAATCAAATGCAATTGATTTTGACCTGTCGGTACAAATCATGTAAGGTTTGCGGCTATTGACACTTCTAAATACTTTGATTCCTCTCCTCAATGTAAATACTTACAAAAAAATTTTATGTTACAATTATTCTGGCACTAGTGATCCATTGAATTATAGAAACCCTTATTATTTTCTATTTCTTGTGGAATGCATGTCGTGTTGCTGTTACCAGCAACTACATGTCATTCAACTCATTTTATTGTTAACACTTCTCAAAAAAGTTATTTCTTGATAAGTGGAAACTTGGCCAGGGAAAATTCAGGGATCCTCAATAATTCTTTATGGCAACATTGCTTCAGTTCAAGGAAAATTTTTCGTCAAGCTTGGTATTTAATTAGGATAATTTTATCCACTATTGCTCATCATTATTTGTCGTAATCAAGATCAGCAACTTTCATTAAAAGTGGACAAAGAGGAAACTGATGTTTCTCGAACACCAAGACTATCATTTGATAATTCAATATAATTTTTCAAAATAAATATTAATTTTCCACTAGGAAAAAATAATTAAATTCCAGCTTTGACTTGAAATTTCACGCACACAATACTGCTTACAGTCATTTGAGATGGTTCATTTTGGTAATCGAATTTATTTCCTAAAAATTAGAATGAAAAATGCTTACTTAGAGCTTGCAATATTTAAAGAAAATAGATTCTTACTTAGTATTGAAAAACAATTTAAAAGAGCACTCTCTTCAAATCTACGAAAGTCCTGACTTTCGAGGAACGTGTCTTGGTTGACTTTCCCATACCTCCACGTATATTTCCTCCTCTAAAACATTAACATTATGGTCACAAAGAGGATACAGAGTATAGTAGCTGGTTCTGGCAAACAACAAAATAGTCAGCATGTCAAGAGAAGCAAAATATCGCTGACAACTCGGATTTCTTAACAAGTCCAAAATCTATAACATCCATATTTACACGAGGGTGATTTACAATTATACACATGAGAAAACACTTTCTACTGACCATGATTGACAGGAGTAACAAACAAGAGTAAAGTGAAAAAGTGAGAGTACTGGCTATACCATGTTAAAATATGACTGGACAACAGAGGCATCAAGAAGAACCAAGAGAAATGTTACTTTTTTTCTCTTTGTAATTTCACAGTGACCCTTTTATCATGCTTGATATCTATCGACCGGGGGAAGTGATGAGCAGGAAAGCAAAAATTGTTGCATCTGCTCACCTTTCTGAGAACCATGAAAAGTTCATTTATTTTTTGACAAGGGTTTCAAATTTTGCCCCCATGGCCGCAGACTGTTGAAGACACCATTAGGGATGGACTTCAAAATCATACTGAAAATCCCACACAGAGTCTCAAAAATCTCTTCTAGCTGCATAAATATTTTTCACACCGTAAAACTGATTGGTTTAACTGAACTAGATTCGAAGCAAATTGATTGATACTAAGTAAGAAAAAATGACCTTTCTTAAACATTTCTCACTCCTCATTAAAGCTAAAATTAAACACAGTTTCGTAGAAGAAAATCAAACGGTCACTTATCACAAGACACGACTCGCATTTTTGATTTTGCAAAAGTAATAATTTTCTGAAAGAGGGATTATTCATTTCATTTGACAGGGTTTCTTACATGAAGATTTCAAAATTAGATTTTGCAAAACTACACAATCAGCAGTAAAAATGACATGCAATTCCTCAATGTTCACATTTTACTCATGTAGAGAGACATGGGTAACATTCTTTAAGCACATTAAAATGTTTGCGTCAGAAAATTTCTACTATGAGTTAGTCCCTTTCTTTAGTTTTAAAGAAGGTACGTATGGGTTGCCAGGGTGTAAGACCACATAATGTGGTGTTTCAAAATTTCCGCTCTTATTTTATTTTCTCAAGGAGAAACAAGCCAACTTTTTAACTTGAAATCTGTACAAAATATTCTGCTGACAGAGAGGAAAAAACAAGGGAGTTTTCAAGGAATTACTTTGACTAGTTTTCCTACGAAAGAATAAAATAAGACAGGAAATCTGCAACGTTGCGAACAGAGAGACGTAGTTCTGCACTTTGGCCATCAATATGAGCGGTAAGATCACTGCTTTTGCTGCTTCCATTAATTCAGATGATATTAGTTTGAGGAAAGGAGGGAGACAATTTTGATCTCATCTCACTCATGGGTGCGGAATTTTGTAATTTAATTCAAAGAGACAATTCTATCTACTGGGCCAAGAATGTCAGGAAGGGTTCTTTCTGGATGAACCATATAATTTTCTTCATTAGTCTAAACTTACAACTATTGCACTATACAGCAAAGCATCAAACATCTACTGGACTACCTCTTACATTCAATGATGATAAGAGAAAATTGAAAGTTTAAATTTTGCTAATTTTTTGCAAACATGGTTATAAAAATTGGATAATACAAAAAAAAAATCTAATTCTGTAAGGCATGGTTGTGGTTGCTATCATTATTCAATTGGTTTACTGCAAACTACCTTAACATCCACTCATCAGTCTAATAGGAGGAAAGTGCACTATGAAATTTATTAGGTTCCGATTCGAAAACATGGAAATGGGAAGGAATGTTCTGACTTAAGTAAAATGTTTTGACCTGGACAGTGTTTTTTGCAATTTTTTCCTAACATTGCAGGTTTAGTGGTTTTTTATACTTGCGTCTCAGCCGGGAGAAAAAATCAGTGGGTCCATGGTTGCACAAATTTCCCAAACGGCATAAACAGAGAACCTTCTGGTTTGAAAATATTTTTCATGATACCTTTATAACGGTGTGTACTTTTTCCCTCTAGTTTTCTAAATACGATTTCCGATCAAAATTTTTTGACACAAGTTTTAAGGCTTAGGTAATTTCAGAGAAAGTATGATGCTGAAGTATCAGAAGGACGCTGGTACATTCAGAGACTTAACAAACAGCCAAACTATCGTCAAAAATGACTACTGATAAAATTGAGACAGGAACTAGTTCAACACTTGAATAGAAGAGAACAATGGGGGTTTTCTATGCCTAAAAACTCTTCTGGAAATCTTCATTAAGTGGGGAGCAGACAAGCTTGAGGTTTGAGGCAAAAAGAATTGTTCAACTAAAGAAACGGACTTTCTAAATTTTTGCACTCTCCATCCTTCTAAAAATAGTAGCTGGGTATTCCTATTCCACGCATTTCCATAGAATTCAAACTTCCTATGACAATTTCACTAATAAATAGAACTATAAATAGTGCAAAGTGTTCATAAGATGTTTTCGTTTGATCATTAAAAAACTAAAGCCTCCGTATCAAAACATCTTCATCATTTGGTGGCACAGTACTTGAAAACTTGAGCACATACCATGCAAAGTAGAAATTCAAAGGTGAAAGTTGAAAGACGTGTACCTCAATTCGTAATGATACGGATTTTTTGTTTAATTTTATTTTTTCAAAAGAAAGCTCATTTTGTGTCATGTTTAATGATTATTCTTCATTTTGTATAGAATATTGTGTAGAAATTTCAAAAAATAAAGTCCACTTGTTTTTTTCGAGAAATTAAAGCAAAGGGAAAGATCTTAAAACAACTCCATCAAGATACATGCATTTCAACTTTTACTATCAAATTTTCATATCTCCTTTAAGTTGCACGTTGAACTTTTGAAGAATAAAACTTCAAAGGAAATTTTAAAATCTTAAATGCAGATAAGTCTGCCCTTCCATTCAGACAGTTTTGCAGTTACTTCTTAACTTTTAACGATAAATGCTCTAAGCTAATAAACTTTCATAGCTCCACCTCAAAATAATAAAATCAAATAAAACATAGAGATATGAAGATTCAAAAAATCTTAACCATTTTTACGGACTATTCTTCTTGTTGAAATCTCTACAACGGTACAATTTTACTGGTAAAGTACGCAAACAGATAACATTAACATAAAACAGGATTTAAACAATAAACAATAATGTACAATGTAATAATGAATGAAACAATAAGGGGACAAAGTTATTGTCATAAAGAAAGCAACAAAGAAGCAGTTAAACGAGTTACTGCGAAAACAGATCCATCCTCTAAATTTACAAAAACAACGTTGACCTTAGACATTGAACCGTGTTTCTGAACCGTCAGCGAGCATTAAAGTAACAGTACGATTATTCATCCAGATAAGTTTCGGCAGTCGTGTAGGGTTTAACCTTGACATTTCAGCTACAGGTGATGTGCTATAGGATTTTGTACATTTTGTTTGACTGTTGCCAAGACCAAACATTCCTGTTGATGTCTGAAAATTAAAATTCACATTTGAAATTAGTTAGCTGGTTTTATGTCAAGATAATAGGGAATAATCGTTAGTTTTACAGTGATGGATCACATTTGAAATTAGTTAGCTTGGTTTAATGTCAAGCTAATAGGGAATAATCGTTAGTTTTACAGTGATGGATCACATTTGAAATTAGTTAGCTGGTTTTATGTCAAGATAATAGGGAATAATCGTTAGTTTTACAGTGATGGATCACATTTAAAATTAGTTAGCTGGTTTTATGTCAAGATAATAGGAAATAATCATTAGTTTTACTGTGATGAATTAAGGAGCCGTGTTCTGATTTTACAAAGCTATTGGTGAAAAAATCAGGCTTTTGCCAAAGGAAGGGATATTGATAAGGGCCGTTTTCAAGCCCATCCTGAATTTTCTCAATTCTACAATTTTTTGCTCATTGACGGTTTATATTTTACAGGATTTATCATGATTGGGTCATTCTTGGTCTTTTTCTAGGTCTACTACTCGCTTGAACACGAGTCTGAACACCAGTTTTGGCGAAAAATGCAGATTTCGTAGATTTGCGGTCGTATGCCGAAAAATCCGCATTTCCGCAAAAATTGGGCTTCAGACTCATGTTTGGGCCAGTATTACATCTGAAATGGAACTGAAAATGACCAAAGCATAATCAATTTCATAAAATATAACCCTCCAATGAGTAAAAAATCTTAGAGTTAAGAAAATTCAGCTAGAAAGGGCCCAAAAATTGCCCTTATCCATCCTTTCAGGAGCGCAGGTCAAGTGTGGCGCATAACAAACACTTCTGCGCACTTAATTTTCTGTTGCACCATTGCTTATGGTTGAATTTTGGGCTTTAAATTCTGGCTGGATGAAAAGCCCTCATGGATCCTAAAAATTATGCCTCCTTGAGATAGCTAAGAAAATTTTCAGATGAAGTTCGGATACTGTTGGATGAAAGATATGAGATTGAAATAAGAGGAGTAATGCTTACCTGCCAAAAAGATAGCCGGTTTTCTCCAGAACTGTATGACACAAGGAATTTGCCATCAGGCGAAAAAGCTAAGGCTGAAATGGCTGCTCCATGAGCGGCTATCATCTGACATTTAGATGAGCGAAGTTCGTACAAAGCTATGGCACCATTTTTGGCCCCAACAGCAATTCGACGAGTAGCAGTGCAGTGACCAATTTGGTTGAAACGAGTGACAGCCGGGAAGATTTCTGACAGACCACTTGTTTTCAAATGCCCCGGATCGACACAATGAAGAATTATGTCCATGACCTAGGAACAAACAGATCAATGAATCAGTCTGAAAAGAATATGAATAGTAATGTGGACCAGCATAAATATAAAGACACAAGGCTCGCCTCTAATACAAGATAACATTTTTTTAATTACTTTATGAGATCCATAACCCTGTGTTATATAAATTAAGAATATATAATACTCTGTAAGCATAGGATGGAGCACCAGAAAAAATATGAATTAGATCACTCTGCAAACTTTCCACAAATTCTTCAAATAATCACTAAAGTCTGTGATCTACTGTACCAAATGAGCTCAAACTGGTCTTTTCTGAGAGCTAATACACCCTTTTCAAATCTTTCATGCGTCGAATTTTGATATGTTGCCTATTTCTTTACGAAAAAATCAATCTAGCTCATTTTGCAGGTCAACATTAAATCTTGCAAGGACGAACTCAACTCATTCTCGTAATATAAGTAAAATATCAGTTGTACCTAAATCAGTAATCTTGTAAATCAGTTAATTTTAAAACAGAAGAGCTCATCCATCATTGTCTTGTTTGAATACTAATGAATTACTCCAAAACATTCCTCAAACTGCTTTTCAGTATCAAAAATTGATTCTTTCAAAGTAAAATCTAACTTTCTAACTCGGGAAAAGCCTGCATACATTTGGAATTATTTGAGCAGTAAGATTTTTATTTCATTTATGTATACATACTGATAAATAAGGAAGGATCTTTGAGAGAGAAAAACAATTGTTTCCTTCAGGAAATCTAGAAGGTTGTTGGGTAAAAATCGAAGAATTACCTCAATCAAGAGATCTTGCATTTCGTTATGCATCTTCTCGATAAGAAGCTCAACTGCTCTAAGAATTTCTGGTTTAGCACGATGCAAAACTGAATTATGTACATTTATATTCAAAGTCTGCGCGTTCTGCTGCATGGTGTTGTATCGTGCGACCTGAAAAAATTGAACAGAGGTTTTACATTTTGTTGGTCAAGTGAGAAGAACTACCCAAAAATACGTACCAACTTTTGCAAATCCCTTCCTTGAAATAATGACTTAGTAATTACACTATTACTGACCTCCTTTCTCAATTTCCATTGATATCTTAACCAAGCACTGCCCAAAAACACTTTTCCCTCCAAAAAATCAACAATTTCTCAGAATTGATCTTCCTATTGAATTTGAGCTAGACATTGTCTTTTTAATTTTGAACAAATTTATAACACACTACTCAGTTAAATATTCAAAAGCTAAAACCTTCAGTTATTTACTTCAATTAGAAATAAAAAGATACACTATGGTGCATAATACACAGAAAGATACGGACAGCCAAAGTGCAAAATCACACATCTCTATTAAGATGTTTCATACTTTCCACTCTCATTTTCCTTTCTCAAAGAGAAACAAGCCAACTTTATAGCCTGAAATTTGTATAAAATATTCTGGTGACTGAGAAGAAAAATCAAGGAAGTTTTCAAGAAATAACGTTGACATTTTCCAAAAAAAAAAAGAAGTATGGCAGGAAGTCTGTAACGTTGCAAACAGAGATATGTGGTTTCGCACTTGGGCCATCGATGTGTAAAAAACTGTCAGCGCCTAACTTTTTTCCCTCCTTTAAACTGTTGTTGAGAAATTTTTTATTGTAGCTAGTACTGCCTCGGAGGTACTGTGTAATCCAAAAGTTATGATATGCACAACTTGTGAGTCAAATGCATTCTAATAATTTGCTTTCTAGTTCAGGGAGGTTGATACATTAATATTTTAGTACACCCGCAGGCTATATTACGCAACATTAATGATTAAACTGCTAAATTAACACGGTAAAATGACTGTGTTTTTGGCTAACTAAGATTTTTTGATTTTGATTGATTTGCAGATTTTGCATTTGAAATTTTAGTGACAAAAGCACTTACCTCTTTGGCCATTGTTGTAATGAAACCGGCTGGCCTGGCTGAGGCTATCAGTGTTAGTGCATGTCTCGCTGTCCGACATGAGTCAGCCGCTGGAGTGAGAGGTAGACCGTACGTCATGCTGAAAATTAAAAAAAAATTTTTTTTATTTAACTTTAATACAATCCTTTGAAGGGTCAGGAGCTTATGTCACAATGTTGAGTTTCATCACTTGAAGCCTCCAGATGAGTAAAACTGATGAGATCTGCCTAGATACAACATTTCTACCTTCAATTTTGATAGAGTTATGGCCTGATGAAATATTGACAATGATAAACATCATTCATTTCATTCGTGCATGAAATTCTATCTTTCATCCAGTCTCATCATTTGGTTATGATTATAATTCGCTCTAGATGTTGCACTGGTTCTGATGAGACTAAGATAAAAGAGATCATGGTTTGCATTCATGAGATAAATACAATGGATAACGGAAAAGCTTTACCATGTTTTTCAGAGAACGAGACTCTTATCAATATGCTGAATGATATACTTCAACAAATCAACTAACTTGTTGATACTGAATGAGATTCAATGAGTAAAATATTAATTTTGTGACCTGCATAATAGATTCAACTACAAAGTAAATTGGATTTGGGTTAATACATCAGTTACAGCGTAAATTAACCTGTCGGTGCTATGACGTCTCACAATTTCTGTAACTATTTTAATTTTTCACAGATGAGCTATGGTTCCAATTTATTTTGAAAATTTCTACAATTTTATTTTTCAGCATAATAAGACTCCTCCCCCTCTTTTCTAAGGATGCAACGATAAAAAAAAAAATGTTCACAGAGATTATGCCAAATTAAAAAAGCTAAAATGCCCTACTGCATGACAGTCGCCAAACAAAGAATTAAAATGAAAAAACAATTTTTCATTTTATTCTACCATTTTTTCAACAGTTCATCATACTTGGGGAGCTTAAGTCAATTGATTTCACCAAAAAAGTTTTATTTTGATTACATTATACATTATATAATCAATATTTTTTTGACAGATATTTTGTAGTTTTTAGAGGATTTTGTGGTTTACCTTGGTGCCAATTTGTCAGAATTACAACATAATTCTAGAAGTCCAAGCAAAATTCGACTGACATCAAGATACGGTTCCCAAACGGTGAAACCCCGACCGAGTAAATCCACTGCTGCTCGTCGTAATGATGTATGAAGTGGAAGTCGTGGATTGGCTGGTGCCAGAAGTAAATGGGTCAGTGCTAAACCTGTAGAAAAATAAAAAGTTCATCTTAGACTGAAGATCGTCTTTACCAGGGCAGTAAAATTAGTTGAGAGCAAAGGAAAAGTGGAACAACTTGCATGACAGACAAGCGGGTGGATAAAAACAATTTCATTAAGTATGAAGATGAACTTGTAATTCACATTGCCATTTGAAATGGCTTGTTATGAAAATTGAAGCAGGACTTACTAGTGAGACGAGCCAAATTATTATTCCCGATGCCAAAACCTTCGACAACAACTGAGCTTTTCCGCCTTTGGTCTTCACTTCGCTTCCCTGAACCGTCCGCTGCAATATCTTGTCCAAATTCTGAGCCAATTACTCCTAGCAATACTACAGCTGTTGTTTGTTTGCGGCGCAACTCTGCAGCTGAGGATGGTTTACGGGTTGTCAGTTCTGAAAATATTTCAGAGGAGTGGTATTACTTTCTTCAGAGTCGCAATAGACCACTAATTAAGGTACAACTTTCAGCATCCTGAGATATATTTCTATTTTAAAATTTCACACAAACTACAATTTGCGCAATGAAAATAACTGACATTATCTCCCAACCAAGTTTTTTCTTTTTTCATTTTGCATTGCATTGGTTACTAAAAATTTGAAATTCCTGTTCACAAGAGAAACAAGAGTCTATTTGAAACAAATCGCCCACTACAACAGTTTTGGCTGGCTTTTCAATCGAGCCATGTTTCCTCCCCACCCAGTGTTGTTCTATGTGTAAACAACATAATATAGCCGAGTTGAAAGGCCAATATTGAGTTAGTCATATTTTCATGCTTCAACATTTATCACAGTAAAGTTCCGTGTGCGATTCAACTTAAGTAAATAATTATTCTTCAGGGAACAGGGAGTTTGTATTTTCTGGTGGTTCATTCAATTACAATTTCAAATAAAAATGTCACAGGAAATGAACTGATAGGGGTAGTGACAGTTAGAATAAATACCGTCTCACTCAAATCATTTAAAAATATTTTAACTGAAATCGTTTCATAATTGGTGACACAGTGCTGTCTCATCACCACATGATATTGAGGCCTAAAAGAAAACATAGTTGCACCAGTATGAAACAAAGTGGCTGATAAAAAGTTTATTGATTACATAAAGAGCTCACCTTCAACTCCTTCATCATCATCTTCAATTTCTTCCTCGTGATGAGCAGTTTCAATATTGCTTCCCTGTGAAAAAAAGACAGATGTTTAAACTGAATGTAAAAAATTCAAACCAATCAAGTATGGGTATTTTTGACTTACTGGATCCGGTCAGTCAATAAACAATCATATATTTCTTAAAAATGATGCAGAATCTCTGAAAGAGGCTTTCTTAATTAAGAAAAAAGTGTCACAAAAATATTAATTTTACGAATGACTAATACTAGAAGGCAACACTACTAACGGCCAACAGAGTTAACTGGAAGGGGGCCCGACCCTACATAACATGGTGCAATTAGAAGAAATATATTGATATTGCTGTTGAATGGCGGAGGACACAACAAAACTGTTGATGCTCAAATAATGAAACAAACTGGCGAAGATACAAGTTGGCAGACTGATGTGCAAATGTCCCTGAATTAATGTTAATAAAAAAAAAAAATTACTTGAGTTATGACTGGCATTGGTGTTGGTGGGTGAGAATTGTCCGAGGCATTGTACGTTGGCAAATACTGGGCCCAGTAGTCAACGAGAGTTTTTCTTCCCTTGCTTCCAAGCCGCGTCAATTCGGCTAAAAGTAAGGCCTGAGCAGCATCTCTTACCTTGGGATTAGAAATAAACATTGATACTTAATTCAATTAGACCTTAAGCATTCAGGTTGATTAATTGAGAAATCAGGTTGCAGAGATAGTCCATAACTGACAAAATTAGCCCTGAGAAATAGTTGTAAGAGGACACAAATATGTATCAAAATAACTGAAGAAGAGTATAATGCCAATAGGTAAATTTATTAAAAATATAAATTATTTAAACAGATATAAAATGGTTGATAAAAACGCATTAATCCTTCATCAATCAACCTTGATAGATAAATAGCTTTGCAAGATACCAATTTTTTAACCAAGTTGATCAAAGCTATTCAATAAAAAAAAGAAAAACAATAAATTTTCAAGAATCAACCCGCAAATTGGACAAGGGGAAAAAAGACTACGCTAAAGAACATACGGCAAACCAGCATAAGAATAATAAATTCATCTTGTTTCAAAACTTAAAATTCAATTTTTGTATTATTACTTCGACTGAAAGAGAAAGCTCCCTGACAAGTGACATCGCACTCTTGGAAAACTGAATAAATTGCTTTAAAAATTCATTGGCTTGCACCCCTATTTCCTCAATTTTACTTCACAATAAAATATGGTAACAAAATCTATTGAGATGTAATTAAAATTATAGAATTTGAACCACTTCTTCTACATTCAATCAAAGTAATCATGGATAGTCTTTTAAGATTGATGCTAAATTGTACCTCCAAACAGTGATGTTGCCAGCGCCGAGCCATCATTTCAATTTGTGGCTTCTTGAACTGAGGACTACTAACTTTGTCAGGTAGTAAAACACAATGCAGTGTTGCTAGCAAAGACCAACCCTGTTTTATTTGAGTTTGCTGTGCGGTTACCAGTTCTTCCGTCGCTTCATCTGGTCTCCAGCCTCTTGTGCTTTGTCTGAAATTTGAAAAAAATGTTTGATAAGAAATTATGGTAATCAATGCCTTTGACAAACTGGATAATTTTATAATACAGAAAGCTATTAAACCCCTTCATTACCGCAAGCACAACACCTGCGTTTAGCAAGGGCGTATCCTTCCTGCAGCATTTCTGCAATTACTCAACAGCATCCACTCAGATGTATTTACATTTGTAGCTCTACCTGTCAAGGAGGATCTAAAGCACAACTTTAGGTACTTTCTAACTGAGTTGGCTCTGATTTCTTTGCATGATATCCAATTCCCATTGTGGGGCATGCGTGCGCAGAATCTAGCCTCATAATGAAAGGGTTAAAAAATCCTTTATTTATTTTGATGGATTAGACTTGAGAAAAGGACCTCAGACTTTTATAAAAGTATTTTGTACTCTAAAGTATAGGATACAGCCTGACATTGATAACTCAAAATTGAAGGGAAAGTAAAAAAAATTTACACTATCAAGGTCTGAAATATAAAAACTTTGGATTATTGGGCACCGACGAGGTATTCCACTAGGCCAAGGAAATGCTGTGGAAAAAATGTTAAGTTTGCTCCCATAAATATAATATAAAATTGAGAAACCAGGTTATAATTATTTAAAGATAAACCTAGAGGAAATCAATAAATAATCCCACCCATAATAGCAAAAATAATTCCTATACCTTACCTTTGTAATTTTCTATTCCTTTCCTGATCAGTCACGAAAGAAGCATTGTTCATGGACATTAAGGTATTGGCTAGAGCGATTATGGCGAGTAGATGGTTGCTTGTAAGTGTGATACTCAATTCCCAATGAATATGTGCTGTGAAGAGTCGCGTGGCGCGTTCCAACTCCACCATTTCTGGCGGTAAATCCGCTTCAAGAGCACTCGGTACATTTTCCAGTTTGTTTTGTTCCTTCCATGGCTGCCAAGTTGGCATCAGAAGGCTCATGTAACCTGGCAAAAAATCCAGTCAATTAAAATCTAATTTTCACACCAGTAAAAAATGATTTAAAATACATAAAAAGAGTTTACTTGGATTAGGGCTGTTTTCAAATCTGTTTAACACCATTGTCCTTCAAACTAACTCATTTCTTGCCTCTTCTGTATTTTCAATTTTTTCAAATCACTTTAATATTTTCTATTTTGTTTTAATACTGCGTTTTAAATGTTTGATATCCCTCTTTTTTTTGAGCATTCCTCATTTTTCATTGATCTGAAAGAGTGATACATTTTAGGAATATTTGGCATACTGTGACAGTATTTGTTATTAATTGATAATATACATGCGTAAATAAAAAAAATTGAGATTACCTCCTTTTGACAGGACACCAAACGAGACGGGGATCATGGGTCTGAGAAGTCCGAGTTTCGTCTCGCAAACTTTGTCTAGATCTGGGTCTAAACCCCAAGCATGGAGCAAGGATAACAGCAACTGTGCTATTTCTAAAGTCAAATTCACTTCGCAGACTTTAGTCCTATTTGTGTCTGAACCACTTCCTCCTGCAACAGAAAAAAATTTCAAACTGTAGGTCGTTGCACAATTGATATGGGGGTTTTCTAAGGACATGAGAAAAACAGAATTCTACTGATGCACTGAGAACTCAGAGCATGAATTTTGAAGTTTTTTCACCCCCAAAAAAGCAGACATTGCAGGTATCCAAGTGATTCCCACCTCAAGCGATAGGAAAATTGGTATTTTTCATACAGACCTATTGATCGATCATTCGGCTTCACAAAAAATTTATTTTGAATGAACACGAGACTTCAAAAGTACATGTAATCTTGTGAACATCATGTTATTAAAACTTCGAGAGATCTTCAAAAAAAATGAGGAAATCATGATTAATTCTCGAAATACTATTTGAGATTCCAAAAATCGACTTAGATTCCCACAAGTCAAAAAAATAGTGTATTTTATTCGAAAAATACACTCAAATTTTGTGGATGCGTGGATGGAAAACGTCTCGAAAATCCAATGCAGCGAGTTGACCTGAATGCATTGGTCTCGAGAAACTTGGAAGGAAAACTATAGCCGTCGCACTACATCATGATAAATTAGATCGCACGGGTTGGTGCTTGGTGCGAGCAATGAACGTAGTGCTGATTGCAGCGACGAGAATTGAAGGGGTTTGAGCACTGGAATGTTAAACATGACTCAAAACGAAACCATGCGAAAACCAAGAGAGAGGAAACCAAAATTCGAATTCTGTCGATCCGAGCAGGCATACATGATTTGGAAGAAACCACAACTTTCCTGTGTCAGGATGGCAGGATTCCATGGAATTCAAAATCGTGAAATATTTCCAGGGATTTTGTAAATGATACCTGCATTGAAAATTAATTTCTTTCTCTTTCATTTTCTTCATGAAATTTTCGATTGACGACGCAAAGAAATGAAGAAAACTATAGAGCACGTTCTGTCGTAAATTTTGAAATGAACTAAAAGTTTTCATTTTTCTTCTTTTGCATCATATGAAAGTTAAAAGTTTAAAAAAACCTCCACTTCGGCGTTGCGATCATTGACAAAAGAGAGAAAGCGAACGTGAGTCTACCAGAATACTTTCGAGCATTTCCCCGTGTGTTTTTTGTTTTGTTGAAAAAAAAAGAAAAAATTCTACGTTATTTCTGACATTTTGTCCCTGATAATCTCCGGTCTTTTTGAAAATGTTAATGGCAACTTTTTCCTCTGAATTTTCTCAGTTTCAACGCCCTGCAGACATCCTGCTGGCATTGAAATGAATTAAGGGGAGAGGGAGGGAGGGCGAGAGTAAGCGAAGACTTAAGAATTAATTTAGGGGCATTTGAGACTTAAGGCGCAGGTTGATGTAAGTACATTAATGGGAGAGAGGTGGGAAGGTAGAATAACTTTGTGGCTAGAGACCTAAACGACATTCATAAACTTTTCAAGAAAAATTACGTGAGTATTATCCGTACATTAGAAATTGATAATTTCGTATTCGCAATCTATTACTATTAATGTACTTCAAGACCAGCTTCAAAAAGAAAATGCGGTTTACGGACTGATTCGGATTATATTTCTCGATTCGGACTACTTTCTTTCAACTAGCATTTCCCTGCTCTTTAAAAGGTTTTTTTTTTTAATTTTTTTTTTTTTTTTTTTTTTAACCTTTTGAGGATTCTGCAACCGTGAAATAATTTTGCGTTACTCAACATTATGGAACGGGCCACGCCAGGGCCGGATTTACCTACTTGCCGCCCATGGGCCGCTCGTATTTTGCCGCCCCCTTCTCATTCGTTTTGAAACATCAATGAAAACCATCAAATGAACGTGCCAGCGGAGGAGGGGTGCATAAGACACGCTTACTGGAGTTGAACACATTTTTTCGGAAAGCCCTGTCAACACTACTTGCAAAAGTTCACGGGACTTTGCACGAAAGTCAAGTTTCATAAACCTATCTCTGTGTGGACAAGGCCTTCCATTCATAAGCAATGAACGAAAAAATTATGAAAGAACAAACATAAATGCGGTTCAATGATTTTAACTTCCGCCGCCGCGCCTCCCAGACCGCACTGTGTTTGACGCAATGCGTGAAGTATTCGCGCAGTCTTGTAGGCGCTATGCGTCTCACGCTGATCGCACTGTGTTTGCCGCAATGCGTGAGGTATTCATGCTACCGTGTAGGCGCTGTCCGTTTCAGGCTGTTAGCAATGACCGCACTGTGTTTGATGCAATGCGTGAAGTATTTGTGCAGTCTTGTAGGCGCTAATATGTGTTACATGTCGATCGCCGCGCCGAGGGCTTCTCCTTTTCATCTCAAGTCCTCGTCATCATTTCTCTCTAGGTAAGTCGCGTGTTCCAGACCAAATTGCGTGTTTGGTTTCTCTCTTAACTCGACTAATTAAAGGTGCTGCCTCTTATATCACTGAAAGATGACAAAAGTAGAAATTACTATACTCTCAGAAAATTAGAGATTTTGTCGCCTTTTCTCGTATATAATTTTTTTTCTAAATCCGAATTTTTTTATACCTACATTTAAAAAAAATTGCAAAATTTGCCGCCCCCTATAGATTTGCTGCCATGGGCCGCGGCCCATGTGGCCACGCCCTTAATCCGGCCCGGGGGCCACGATACAAAATGAAGTACCACGATACAAAATGAAGTACCACGCTACATGATTCCTGATAAAAATTTTACATGGAATACGATATACACATTAAAACTTTTGAAATTCAACTCAAATGTTGAAGAAAAACAATTTTGTCCATGTTCACGAAAAAATCAAAGTCTACTCTAGTCAATCGAGCATTAAACTAATTTCGGTATATTTTACGATGAAAGAAGTTTCTTGCGTGCCAATTCTTTTCTGACAAGATTATAGGTGCCTGCTATCAAAAAAGGAAGAAGCTGCATGTGAAACCAAGCTCTAGTTCCTTGCACAGCGTGTAGGCTAATTTCAATGACTACTTAGACCACATTTGGCAGAAAGGTACCAAGCCACATCAGCTATGGCCAAATTTAACCGGGCACTTTAATTTTTTACAGGAGAACGTTTGTGCGGATTCCTTTGAAAATGTTGTGCAAAAAATTCACTAAAATGTACACAAAAATCCGCACAACCGCTTTCATGTAAAATATTGCTTAGTTAAATTTGGCAATAGCTGATGTGGCTTGGTTCATTTCTGCTTAAAGTGATCCGATTCCGCCTCAGTGGCGTGGCGTGCTTTGCAAATTATCGATTAAACTACCATCTAAAACTATGGAAAAAGATCGATTAATAGGGTGTTCGCAACGGACACCTTAATAATCGATTCTTTACCATAGCTTCAAATGGAGAAATATCGATTTATCGCAAAGCACGCCACGCCACTGTTTGGCCTACGTTGATAACTGTGTGTTCACGAGCGGGAAGTTTAAAATTACTGTTCATGATGTAAACTACCAACTTTCATTTCTCTATTGTGCGTAAATTTCGGTAATGTTCAATGTGTTCTGTCTAAAATTTTGATGAGAAAATATGCGCTGCGGCGCTGATACCTTGTTTCGCGGTGCATTGATTTGTGTGCGATTAAAGTATTAGGGTGCAAGATTGAGTATTCAGGTTTGTTTTCCGAAATGATTTCAAATTCCGAAGCACTCGTAAACATCTTAAAAAATACCATGGAAAACACATCGGGGAAAGTGTTTTCCCTCGAAGAAAAAATTCCACGCCTCGCGCGACGAATGAATCGAGCGATCGAATGGGTTCTTCGTCGGGTTCCAATGATCCGTGAATCATTGGTGAAAAATCTTTAACGGGTTCCTCCGGTGGAACACCCTGTGAAGACTTGACTGGCATCTAACGTGGGCATTGTTGCCAGGCAGTGCTGAGATTTCAAGAATTTCCACCATTTAAACCAGTGTATGTAATCCATGGGGTAAGGCGCGATTTGGCAACCTCGAATGGGGGCGGGCGATCTGGACTGGTCATTCACTTGGGTTACAGCAGCGCCCGTGATCAAGGTCGAAAAGCTGACATTCGTCCGGAGCTCAGCAAAATATTGCTCAAGGTGAGGCTCGAGATGGAAAAGGAAAAAGAAGGAAAGCCAAAAAAATAAAAAATAAAAAAAAAATAACCGGCGACCACACCCAAGATAATCGCCGCGGATCACTTAGATCGGACTTAAATTTGTGTCCCCCCCCCCCCCCTTAACCCCCNCCACTTAACCCGCAGGTGCTGCTCCATCCAAGCATCACCTGCTCAAATTTTCAAAAACAGCAGAGTTGCAAGTTGAATCGCCCTCGTAGCATCCCGTGACGATTTAGCAAGCTGGCAACACCGGTTTTCCGCCGTATAAATCCATTGAAAATATCGATTTTCGGTCAGGTAAAAGAATGAGTGGTTTAGGTGTACATGATCTCGAGGAAATCTTGTGGTCAGTACTAAAATTCCGGTGATATCGAGCGTGTAATATGGTTGCACCAATCGGAATAAGCACTGTAAATCAGGCGATACGCACTATCAGAGGAGAAAGAAATCGGATGCTGGCTACTAGATTTCCCAGGGATCGTGAAAAGTCATGAACACCGTGTGAGCATTCGAGTGTTGTCTTTACCCGGATAAAGCATGTATTTTTAAGGGACGTTATGCATATTTTGTTTGAAATTTTAAGATGCCTTAGACTAAATTGAGGATTTTTTCGGTAAATGGGCGTATGAGGCTTCCAATGCTGCTAAAATTGTGAAATTTATACAACGTTTGCGGCAAATGAAATTCGTCCACAGTCGACTTACTTGCTTACAATAGTAGGGAAAATGAAAAACTTAGTTCAGAATATGGCAAAAATAGCAGATTCGAGGAAAAATTCATAGCAGGACTGTCGGATGAGTTACATACAAGAGAACTACCTTGCACAATCTGTCTCAAACCGACTCCGTCACCGCTCTTTTACCGAAAAATGCTTCAATTGTCTGAAAAAGAAGAACACTGTTCAGAATTCTCGTAGAAAATTAGCTTTTTATTGAAGGAATTTTCACAACGTCTGAAAGCTCACACGTCTTT